ATGATTGTTAATCGACATTAACATTGATCCTTCATTTGATGGGTCATTTATTCCAGCCCAGTTTGGTAAAGTGATTTGATAGTGGAGCCAATGTATGATGCAACTTTGGAATCTTTACTATTTTTTTCTCTTTAATATTTTTTAATATTAACATTTGTAAATCTTTTTTATAGCCACTGTGTCAAACTCCCAGCAAGCTTACCAAGAAGCATTTGAAATTAGTAAGAAAGAAATGCAGCCTACACATCCAATTCGACTTGGCCTGGCCCTTAACTTCTCAGTCTTTTACTATGAGATCCTAAACTCTCCTGAAAAGGCGTGCAGCCTGGCAAAAACGGTGAGAAAGACTCCTGGTGGCCACCAGTCATTGTCAACCAGTGCTTGTGCCTTTTAAGAACTTTTTTACTACGTGAACATAAATCAGTTGTCTTGGAGATTTTCTGAGGGAAGAAGTGTATTTCTTATGAACTGTTACTTTTCATTTCCTCTCATCAATTCCTGCTAATTTGGTTTGCTTTGTTTTTGTTTGATTACTGTTTTGGGGAACGTTTGCAGAAAATTCACGGTGAAGAACTTAGTTTATTGTTTTCTTGTCAAGCTTGGTTATAGGCCTGCATTATGTATTATCCTTGTAGCTTTGAGGTTTCAGTTGTTTAAAGGAGAGAAATCAGGCTGTGTCTACTTTGTCTTTTGGTAACCCAACTGTCGTTTCTACATATTTTTGTAGTCTTTGGGCATGCACACTCTTCCAGAGTGTCTGAAATGGACTCTCAGAGTTCATCACTTAATCATATCAGATTTGGGGGTATGAACTCCCTTTAACTCTTGCATTCTGGACCTTTTTTTTTTAAGATTTATTTATCTATGCATACAAGACCTGGGGCACAGGTCAGAGGTATGTGGGGTGAGAGGATCCACCGGAGACAGAGCGGGGAACAGAACAGGCAGAACAACTGAAATACACTGCTGAGGGGAGCAGTGGGTGAGATAGGAGGGGTCTGCCTCGCCATGTGGGTTTCTCCCTGGCTGGCCAGGGATCGAGCTTGTGCCGCAGAGGCTGCGGACCCCTTCATTGTGTGATGCTCAACCCCTTGTGCCACCAGGGAAGCCCCAATTGGACCTTTTGAGTTTTGGGTTTTTAAAAAGAGGATTATTAGCAAAATTATGTCCACTTGTTAGCAGAAGAAACTTGGTCTAGCTAGCTCAAAAGGACCTGTGAATTCTTTGCTTAAAGGCTCTTTATTTTAGGCATTTGATGAAGCAATTGCTGAATTGGACACACTGAATGAAGAGTCTTACAAAGACAGCACCCTGATCATGCAGTTGCTTAGAGACAATCTCACTGTAAGTATTGCCGGTTTCTGTGACTGCTTCTGGAGGGTGTATGGATTTGTTCCCATTAACCTCCTTCATAATTCATTGCCGTCCAGAACTCAAGAGGGGGTTTGTATCCTGTAGATACAGTTAAAATTTAATTTGTTAAGTTGGTTACAAATGACTGCTAAAGTTTTGAGCTTTGCAGTCTTCACTGTCTGTAGTAATACAGGAAGAATTTCACCCAGTTGAGTGAGGTGAGATGAGAGGATACCCACTCTCGACGCCTCCCTGAATAAATGGCAGTGGCTCTACTTTGATCATAGCTCTGTTTTTCTCTTGCAGCTGTGGACGTCGGAAAACCAGGGAGATGAAGGAGATGCTGGGGAGGGAGAGAACTAATGTCTATCATGCTTCGTGATCTGTTCACTGTCACTCTGTACCCTCCACATATATCCCTTTGTGCGATAAAAAAAAAAAAAAAAGAATCGTACGTCGACTTTCGATTTTTCACAGCCTCAGCCTAGCAAAAATGGTCCATGGGATGAACAGCTGGTATATGTAGCTAAAACTCAGATTGGTCACAAAAATGCCATGGCATTCTGGAAGTTTGATTTTGATTAACATTGACAGGATTACTGTGTGTTTAATTTTTTAAAACTGAACACTGTGATTATGGGGTTTTGTAACTTAGCAGAACTCTTACTGGTAGAAAAAATAGACCTGAATTATGTGTAACTTTTTGGAAAGTTAAATCTGATATCAAAATAGTCACTGAACTGCAGTTCCATTGTAAAGTTGTACAGAAAGTTATAGAGATTATATTGTGACACTGGGTCTTGGAGTGAGATAGCTGTCATTCGGCGTTGGAGTTCAATGAAAACTCACAGTAGTTCTGCCTGTCGTTCAGGGCTTATCAACACTTGGCCAGTTCGGGCTGTTGCCACTCAAAAGTTCATGACCACAGATGTCCACAGTGTCTTCCTCTAAGGAAACTCAAAGGCTGAAATTGAAATTCTTTGCAGATAACTTAGGGTTATGACATCATGAAAAGGTCCAGTGCTCATGTAACACACGTGACTAAAACCCCTTTCCTACAGCAATATGTTACTGATTTGCAACTTGTGCTTCATTAGTGGAATCTGTTTTTCCTGTAACCATGAGCTGAAGAAGAAAAAAGGGCCATATATGGTATGAATGGCCTAATCCGTTTCCTGGATCATACCTTTAAGAATAATGTTCTACAGAGGCGGTCTTTGAATTGGGGAGTCCTCATTCAGGCTTCTTCCTAGCTCTGGACTTTTAAATTTAGAAATCTATAAATTCTTTCCCATGATCTTTCTGACTGTTGACTTTGGTTTTCATATTTCTGATCTTTTACAGCTTTACTTTTTTTTTTCTTTTTGAATTCTGTATTTCCTTTGGTTCACTGATTAATACTACATGAGCAGGGATGGGGCCTGGAGGGGAAGAGAGAAGTCAGTGAGAACATAGGTAAGCAGACCTGGCTTCAAAGAGTTGAGATGAGTGTCCAGCACCATAGCTCTGTCTTCCTCCCGTTCTCAGCACGGTGGTGGTTCTTCAGTCATACCAAGATCTGAATCAAAAAAAGTATTCTAAAATATCCATGATTTCTTCCTGTATTGCGGCCAGCCCTGATAATGCTTGTTAGTACCTGTCACCTGATCTCCTAAGTCTACTCATCCAGCCAAGTTCGCAGACGTGTTTAAACAAGACCCTATAATGCAGGGAATTTGCATGAACACTGCAATGGGGAGAATCAAGACCAGCCAGGCCTACCAGTCTCACAGTCTCCCCCTTCTCCCTTTAACATTCCACCTAGCTGTAGTGTCCATCTGTTTGTCCATCTGCTGAAATGAGAAAAGAAACATTCATGCACTGATTTAAAACAAACCAAAAAAAAGAGAAAAAAACAAAAAAAAATCCCTCTCTCCTTTCTAGCTGAACAAAAATGTGCAGTTAGTACTTGGCGCTTGAAAATGCAGTAGTGAATGTGGAACGAGCCTGTCTGTATATCTGGTAGCTCTTTCTTGCTTTGTTTTTCCTCACCAGTATTCTGCCTCACGTTTGCTTCTGTGATGGTTTTATTGCCTAGCAAGCACACCCGTGGTTGTGAAAATAGTATAGCAAAAAAAAAAAAAAAGAAAAATCCCCGGTTATTGATGTACTAGATTTGTGTATGTCTTTTAAACAGTTCTAGTTTCCACCTTACACGGAATTAATCAGGAAAAGTGTAAAAATTCAAAAGTGAAATAAAAAATTTTATCAGTTAGTTGTCTGTGAACTGACGTGTGGCGCCATCTTTGTCACTACCTGAACTAGCTAGTTCCTCTGATTATCCTTCAGGCACTATTTCCTTCACGGTAGGCAACAGCTTTATCTTACCCTTGAGAAGAAGAGCCAGAGTCAAAGGAAGACTTTACCGTTAATTAACACACAGCCTCTTCCCACTTCCTAAGCCGATGCCTCTCTGCTTTCCACAACAACCATCTAGGTGCTAGGTACTTTTTTGTGACACCTGAAAGTTGATACGGACAGCCTTAGCATCCCATTCAAGTCTGGTTCCCCCACCCAGCTCCCTTTGTTTTTTTTTAACACTGATATTGTAACCAAGACAAATAGTTGCACAAAGTTTGGTCATCTCCAAGGTTTTACAAACTGTCCTGATGGAGTTCATGGTGGCCTGAAGCACTTTTCTCATGGGATTTGCCCCCTTCTAGAAACATCCACACTCCCACTCTAAAAAAGAAGGAAAATCAGGGAGGGAATTAGTGCAGCCCAATATTAAAATTAGTGCTTAATGCTCCTGTGAGGCTACACTAATGACCCAATTTCAACAGTTCCACCTGTTGAAGTCACACCCAACCAAAGGGAAACCAGGAGAGTCCCAGTGAGAAGTGGGGCGAAACATTGGTTCGCAGTGGTTTGGAGGTGTTTTGATGACCCTACACCACAGATGGGTTGATGAAGGAGTCCTGCAGATCAGGCTGGAGCCGATAACACAGCCTTGCTCTGTTGGGTTCCTGCAGGGAAGGGTGAGCCTTTCTGGTGGAATGGCTAGTCACGAGGAAGGTGGACAGGGAATGTGCAAAGAAAAGGTCTTGGTAATCTAAGAGCCAGTGTTAAGGCCTCTGTGGTTTCAAATTCTCCGTTGAAGCCTCAGCGTCTTCCGGATCACACCGCCGGCGCAGAAGGGTGGGGCTGGGTTGTCTGGACAAAGACTGCGTGCAGCTCGGAACTGTTTCTATGTGCAGTGCGCACAGGATTCATGGCCTCCTTTAACCCGCGCGAAGATGGGGTCGCCCCCACTTCACAGGGAAGGGACTAGGGCCCAGGAAGGTGATGTGTCCAGGATTAGAACCCCAGAGCCCGCCCCACCGAGCTCCACTCAGCACCCCCCGCCCCTACGCCGCGACCCGGGCCAGGGCTTTCCCCGCCTCCCGAGGCGGGGTCGGAAACAGCCCCCACCTGAGACTTCTGGAACGCCGAGGGGTCTCAGGTGGGGAGCGCCGAGGCAGGGAGTCGCGGGGCGCCCGCGATTGGCGCGCAGGCCCGCGGGGCCGTAAAGGGCGGGCTCGGGGAGGGAGAGCCGCCTGCGCGCCCGCCGCCGCGAGGCTCCCGCCGGGGTGAGCGCGCCAGCGCCGCGGGCCCGCCCGCCGGCCACCATGAACGCCAGCGGCCCCAGCTATCCGCTCGCCTCGCTCTACGTGGGCGACCTGCACCCCGACGTCACCGAGTCCATGCTCTACGAGAAGTTCTCGCCTGCCGGCCCCATCCTGTCCATCCGCGTGTGCCGCGACGTGGCCACCCGCCGCTCGCTGGGCTATGCCTACATCAACTTCCAGCAGCCGGCCGACGGTGAGCCCGGGGGGCTGGGCCCGCGGACGGAGGTGTCGAGGGGCTGTGGTGGGCGCGGCCTGCTCGCCCCGGGCTCCGGGCTCGCACCCGGCGTCCGCGTTTTCATCTCTGACTGCGCCTGCACCTTCCTTTTGCAGCCGCAGAAATAAGCACTGAAAGGGGTCCTGCCCGGGGTAGCCTCCAGAGATGGGAACTTGGGATGAGTGTGCGCCCACCGTGCGTTTTCTTAGCGCTCCATTTCACAGAGGAGAGAGACTAAGGCCGAGTAAGACCAGACAAGGCTTTGCAGGCTTGCCGCCCTGAGAGTAGAAAGGCAGCAGCTGTGAGACTTGGGGCACGCTACTTAGTTGCATTCTCCAAAAGTGGAGGATAGGACCTGCCTCATAGGGTGGTTGGAAGGATGAGAAATTCCAAGCACCTGGTGAGGATGCACAGTCCCCACAGGTGGAGGCCGTTACGCCTGAAGAGACCGCCTTGTGCAGGCCCTTTTCTGGCAGGGAGAGGTGAGGTCCGCCTAAGGTGCCTCCAGGTTTCACAGCCTGTTTCTTGGAGCTGACGGGATTCATTAGAGCTTGCCAGGGGGGTGCGTTGAGTGGGGAGGGCACTGATGCCAGCACAGGATTTACACCAGCCCTGCCTCTGCCATGTGAGCTTGAGGGAGCCCTCACCCCCGGCACCTCTCCCTCTGTGAAATGGAGGTGAGGCTTAGTCCCCAGTAGAAGGGATGGAGAAAGTGGGTCATGTCTCCAGCACCCCTTACTTGCAAAGCAAGCGCTCAATATGTGGTAAGAAAGATAAAGGAGGCTACAAGGTGCAGGTGTGGCACCAAAAAAAAGCCTGTCCCAGCCAAGGCCAAGAGAGGGCGCCCTTGCCCCAAGTCTCCTGGGTGGTTGGGGAGGTTCCCTGAACTGGGGGTTGCGGGGTGGTTCTGCCTGTTTCTCAGTAGGTGATGGAGCCAGATGCAGGGCCTGCCTCCCCCTTTGGTCTACTTTACCCACCCACTGCCTCTTCCCACGCTGAGCAACAAGACCTTTTTGCCATATTTCATAGTTGGGGAAACACCTCTGGAAAGGAGGATTTTGCCCCTGGGTATTTATGGGGGGACTGGATGGAAAACCCAGACCTCCTGCAGCTTCACTGAGCTCCCCATGGTTCCCCTCGGTGCTTCTGGAAACAGAGGCGTCTGAGGCTGGGAGAGCGTGTTACCTGGGAGAGGACAGGTCGTAGCAGTGGCAGGAGATGGCTCTGTCTTGAGACACCACCATTGACCAATTACTTTTGTGCCAGGCACAAAGCACAAGGAACTGGCACAAAGCACAAGGAACCTTGTACCTTACCGAATTTTCACCCTGCCTGACCCCCGGGAGGTGGTCCTTCTCCTTAGTTTGATGTGCAAAGGTGACAGAGTATCAACATCCCCCTGTACAGGGATGTCGCTTCCCCCAGAGCCATTCTACCTGGGCTGATGGAACCCAGCTCTGCTGCTCAGCTCCTCTGAGCGTTATTGTCTCCCCACCCTGTCACAGGGACCCTCCTGTATATGGTGATGTGTGCTCCGTGTGCTTGAGTGACCACAGCAGACCTGGGCTCTGCTACTGATCTTTCTCCTTCCTGAGCCTCAGTTTCCCCTTGTGTAAAGTATTCCCCTGTGTGAAGGGGTTTTCAGTTTCCCCTTTCTCCATCTCCTCCACTGGGGAGTCCATGTTCACCTGGCTTCCATGAGAAGTTGGGTACGGTCCTAAGGGGAAGGAGGGAGGAGCTCCACAGATGTGAACTCTTTCTGCTTGAACTTTACACCTTCAGCCTCTTATGTGAGACCCTGGGTATTAAGTGTCTTGGGCAAGCAAAGGAAAAGAAAATCCCATTAACCTGTTCTGTTCTCCTGCCATCCTCCTGTCCAGCGGAGCGGGCACTGGACACAATGAACTTTGAGGTGATCAAAGGCCAGCCCATCCGCATCATGTGGTCCCAGCGAGACCCTGGGCTGCGCAAGTCAGGTGTGGGCAACATCTTCATCAAGAACCTGGAGGGCTCCATTGACAACAAGGCCTTGTATGACACCTTCTCCGCCTTTGGGAACATCCTTTCTTGCAAGGTGGGTGTGCCCCATGGGGGAGGGAGCGCCTGTCCATGCCGTGTGGAGGAAGGATGTCCAGGAGCAACCTGCGTTCCGTTCCAACGGTCTTCAGCTCAGGTCCAGCAGGCACCAAATGCTGCTGGTGGTTCTAGTTTTCTCTTCCTAGAATGGTCAGAGTCACCTGTGCATCAGTCAGCCCTCGCTGGCTATCGGGAACCAGTCAGCCCTCGCAGGCAACCATTCTGCTCATAAGTCTTGGTTAGGGCTAGGCTCCTTCCTCGGCCCTCTGCGAGCTGGCTGGCTCTGCTGCTGGGAGAGGCTGGCTGTCAGCTGGAGCATCTCGACTGTCCTCCCTGTGCTCTGTTCTCCTCCAGCAGGTAGCCCAGGTGTCCCTGGCTGCAGCAGGGTCCTAGAAGACAGTGTGGAAGCTCACCCAGGCCTCATGGCACCTGAGCACAGACCTGGCACCCCATCACTTTCTCTCCATTCTGTTGGCCAAAACAAGTGACAAGACCAGCCCAAATTGGTGTGAGACAGCAAGAGAAATTTTAGGACAAAGGCATGAAGACAGGAAGGTCATTAATTGAGGTCATCATGACAGTGGGTAGCCACACCTTGTCTTTAAGATTTCTGTTATAACAGAATGTAAGTTCCATAAGAGTAGCGATCTTATTCGCTGTTGTATCACAACATCTAGGGGAAGACACAAACATCCAGTAGGTGCTCAATACAGATCGCTTAGCAAATGGCTGTGTTATCTCTTGTGGGATGTTGGTCATTTTTTACTTTATCCATGAGAATCCTGAAGATCAGACTAGCTGGTCCCCCTGTCCTGACTTCAGGGCCTAACCCTGGATATTCTGCATCTAGGCTTAATGAGGGTGGCGGTCAGTTGCCCTGCAGCCTTCAGTACCTCCACCTTTTGGGGGTGTGATGGCATGCTCCGTGTGCCTGTGCAATCCTGAAGTCCTCACTTAGGCCTCCCCACCTCCCTGTGAATGAGGGGATAGCCCTGAACTCAGAGGAGCAGACAGACTTGGAAGGTGCAATAGCTCTGGGCTCCCCATGGTAGACTGAAAGGGGTATTTTTCATCTTTGAGGATTAGTGGAAGAGAGACTGTAAGCTGTGCAGTAAGTTCTTGCAATCATAGCAGATTTTTCACCTATGTTCAATGTATCAAGTTTTCTGCCTTGATTTCCCACAACAGCCCATTAAGATGTAAACAGAAGAACCCCTGAATTATATTTGCAAGCAGAGGCTGAATTGGGGTCACTTGTCCACTTGTTTTGGGGGTGGGAGGTAAGTAGCAGAGCCAGGATTTCACCAATGGGCCTACGAACTCAGTTGAGTATGCCTGTCCTCATTATCCAGGCCTTGAGGCTTCCTCTGGGCCACTGACATTTGCACAGAAAGCTCTAGTGACGCGGGCAAGTCTTGGCAGGCCTGCTGAGGCCGTATTGTAGGCCCTATTGTAGGTTAGGTACAAGGCTTACAAGCTGGTTCTACCCCAGGAGCTCTCAGGCTGGGTGGAGATGGTGCGACTGTTAGGAAGAGGCAGACGTTGGTCTCTGAGGGCAAGGCTTAGTGAACCAGGTAGTCAAAGGACTAGGAAGGATAGCACTATGTGGCTACTCAGACAGGGTTCCTGTAGCTCCTGGGAGGAGCGTTGGACCAGGAATCAGGCCCCCTGAGTGCAAAGCCCAGCCACTGAGCAGAGGCAGCAGAACATAGTCGCTCTGATCCAGGGCTTGGGGCCATAGTCCTGGGTTCAAGTCCTGCCTCTTGCATTTGCTGGCCTTGTGACCTGGGGCCCCTTGTTTAACCTCCACACCCCACTTGCCTCTGAAGGGGGACAGTGGAGAACCAGCCTCATAGGGTTGATGTGAATGTCTATTCATTATGGCAATCTTCCCAACGTGAAGAGCCCTTGACGGGTTCCAGCGCCTGTCAGACATCTTAAATGGTGGCTGTGATAATCAAAAAGTCACGTCTGCTGCCTGGCTGATCTTGCACGAGCCATTTATTTCCACGTCCTCCCATTGGGCAGCTGGTGTTCAGAGGTTAAGACTTGCCTGGAGGGCCTCCCCTGGTGGTGCAGCGCTTGAGCGCTGGGCTGCGAGGCTGCCTGCAGCCTCTGCAGCGCTAGTTCGATCCCCGGTCGCGAGGGTCCCACAAAAAAAAAAAAAAAAACTTGCCTGGAAGGGTTCTTACGATAAATATAACAAGATGAGCATGTGATGCCTCTAGAAGGTGAGTGTGCACCCAGTCAGCGTGATCCAATCTGAATGTAAGAGCTGGGGCTTCAGCTAAAGGTAAGAAGCCTGTTTGGGGTAGAGGGGTGTGGGCATGGATTAGGAAGCAAGGCTTCTGTTCAATTCAGACCTGTGTTCAGTTTGAGAACGCTCCCTCCTCACCATGTGATCTCAATCAAATGGATTGGCTTCTGAGCTTTAGTTTCCCATCTCTAAAAATGGGGCTATTCTGACACATGGGCTATTATTCATTATTGCCTTTGCCAGCACTTTTTTTTTTTTTGAAGATTTATTTATTTATACAAGAACTGGGGTACATACAGTCAGAGGTGAGGGAGGGTGAGAGGATTCACCAGAGACAGAGTGGGGAACAGAACAGGCAGACTGAGGAAATACACCGCTGAGGGGAGCAGCAGGTGCAACAGGAGAGGTCTGCTCACCATGTGGGTTTCTCCCTGGCCGGCCAGGAATCCAACCTGCGCTGCAGAGGCTGCAGACAACTTCACAGCGCAGTGCTCAACCCACTGCGGGAGGCCCTGCCAGTACTTTTCTATGTGAACCCTCTGTTGGATGCCCTCCCTGTCCTTCTTCCCTGTGGCCTAGGTGGTGTGTGACAACAATGGCTCCCGAGGCTTTGGCTTTGTCCATTTTGAGACCCATGAGGCCGCGCAGCAGGCTATCGGCACCATGAACGGGATGCTGCTGAATGACCGCAAAGTGTGAGTGGCCGGGCGGGGGGCAGGGAGCATGGGGATGAATCACTGCAGCACCCACTGGCAGTAATGCTTCTGCCGACTTAAGGGGCACCGGGTGCTGAGCGGCAGCGTGTCCTTCCTGTCAGGCTGACCTTGTTCTTGCTGCTCGATTTCTGAGGGACGCCCTCTCCTCGAGTGAAAACAGGCTGCTGATGGGCTTTGGAGGGTGTTCAGAGCAGCAGGTGCAGCGAGGGCTGTGAGTTATTGCAGCGAAGAGCTAGCGATGGACTCATCCGTAGACTTGGTGATTTCCAGTCTGCTCAGGGTGGCTGTAAATGTTTTTCTCGAACCTTCTGTGTTGTTTCATGTGCTCTTTGGTCAGGCATCTGCTTAGCCTGCCCTCTCTGACCAGTCAGAGATGACCCATCTTCACAGATGAGAAAATGGAGACACAGATGCTGCAGAGAACCTGCTCCTGGCAGCCCCCTTCCCCCTCCCCTATCTTGGGGCCCAGCCCGAGCTCTGTGCTGTAGAGACTGGGGCTGTGAGCTGTGAGTCCTTTGGTTCAGGGATTTTCAGGACAAACTCCTGTCAACGAAACTGAATCTTGGTCAGCTCTTAAATTCTCACAAGGATGCCACCTTTGTCAGATGCAGCTGCCCAAGCTCCCTTTCACCACTTAGTTCTCTTCCGTTTTGGTGCCAGCTATAATTTGTTTTTGCTAAACGGGCTCTAGATACCATCAAATTTCCTTATATTTGATTTTTTTCCTTAATCCAGGATGCTGTTCTAGATGTGTCTACATGAACTGGGAAATTCAAACAATTTCTAAACTTGATTTTGTCTTTAAATGATTTCAGTTCCTTCCCCACAGCAGCCCTGGCACGGGCCTCCTTTAGTTCTGTTGCTGCTGCTTCCCCAGTGCTCCGCTAGGTGTCCAGTGAATAAGCGTATCCCTCTGATGCAAGTTTCACCTCCAGGTTTACAGGAATGAACACTGAGGCTTAGAGAGGTTAAGTATCTTGCCCAGGGCACACAGCAAGGCAACTTTAGAGAAGGCTTCAAGCCCTTGTCTGTGAGCTCCAAGTTCATGCTCCTATGTCCTGTGTCCTCAGCTGCCCCGTGTTCTGGATGGGGCGCATCTGCCATTGCTCACTAATAGTCTTTTTAATCTTTTGCTGGAACATGGAATGAGGCTGATGGGAGTGGTTTGGTCTTGAATATATCCCATCTAAGAGGTTGCCCTGCCCAGTCTTCTGATGATGGGGCAGGCAGCAATTGACCAAGTGGCCTGGGGCTGCCAAGCGGGCTAGGGGCTGGCCCGGGGCTGATGGCTGGCAGCTGCCTACCCGTCCATGTGTCCACAGCTTCGTCGGCCACTTCAAGTCCCGACGCGAGCGGGAGGCAGAGCTAGGGGCTCAGGCCATGGAGTTCACCAACATCTACGTGAAGAACCTCCATGTGGACATGGATGAGCGGGGTCTGCAGGAGCTCTTCTCCCAGTTTGGTGAGCACATTCCCCGAAGGAGTCAGGGGGTCGCTTTCTCTCCTCCCAGGTTGGGCTGGGTGGGCCCTCCTGAGGCTTCCTGAGGACTCATGGGAAGGAGGGGACCAGCAGGGGGCTTCCCAAACTGCCCTTTGAGCCCAAATGGTCCTTCCCAGGGAAGATGCTGAGTGTGAAGGTGATGAGGGACAGCAGCGGCCACTCCCGGGGCTTTGGCTTTGTCAACTTTGAGAAGCATGAGGAAGCCCACAAGGTAGGAGATCCTCCCCAAGGCCCTGCTTCCTGGAAGAGGTGCTGAGCCAGGGCTTGGACGAAGGGAGATCAGGAGCAGGTTGTTCCAGCTGCCCCAGGGGAAAAGGAAGTCCTTGCCCAGCCACACAAGCCAGGGCCTTCCCTGCCTATGGTGAAGGCTCCTGCCTTAACGTTGTTGGTTGCATCTAAGCCCTGAGTGGGCTTCTTCTCATAGATTCTTGCCATGTGGGAGGTAGGAGGGGGGTCTCTGAGACAACACTACATTTTTCTTGAATTGACGATGGGTTGGAGACTAGGGAGGAAAAACTCCCCATTATTTTTGGCTTCCAGACCACTGCAAATGCTGTTTTCTCTCAACACTTCCCCTCTGCTTTTTATTTATTTTTCATTTTTTTACAATTATGCATACAAGAGCTGGGGTGCAGGCCAGAGATGGGGGTGGTGAGAGGATCCACCAGCAATAGAGTGGGGAGCAGAACAGGCAGATTGACAGAACTACACTGCTGAGGGGAGCAGCGGGTGACACGGGAGTGGTCTGCTGTGCCATGTGGGTAGCTCCCTGGCCGGGGATCGAACTCAGGCTGCAGTGGCTGATGATAGCTTCATAGAGCTGAGACTTAACTCCTAGGCCACCAGGGAGGTCCTGAAGTTTTATTCTTAAGTAAACGACATCTTTGAAATGTAATTTCCGTGTGTCCTTGGACAAGTCGGCCCCTCTGATCTTTAGTTGTAAAATGACAAGTTGGAGTAAACCAGTGAAACCATAGGTGTCCGTGGGCTGCAAAAGCTGAGAGACTAAGGTAATGATGTTGAAGACTAATGTAGAACAGGCAGCTCCCGGGTTTCGAGAGCTGGCTCTTTAAGTTGGGTAGCCAAAGTCATTATGTGAAAATATTTACTAAATGAACTTACCACTTAAAAAATCAGTTCCCTTCACACATTTCTCTTAATACCAGTGTCTAAAACCTCATTATTGAGTCGGTCCCTAGGTGGATCTGTCTCTGGCTGACTTTTGTGGCTAAGTCAGGGCAAGTTGGTTCCGTACGAAAGGACTGCAGAAAGGAGCTGCGTGCCTTGCGGATGTACGATTCTATGCAGTTCAAACCACAGGCAGCCTGGGATCTGGCAGACTTTGGCCAGTTAACTGAAGAAAAGAAAAATCCACCAGGGTTAAGACACAAATGGTTCTTTAAAAGCTAATGAAAGCCCTCATGGTTAGCAAAAAGGATTCTTAGCACTGTGACGTCCAGGATAAAGGTTGTTGATTATGCCATCGTGCCTTTTTTTTTTTTTTAAGATTTATTTATTTATGCATACGAGAGCTGGCGTACAGGCCAGAGGTGTGGGGGGAGTGGTGAGAGGATTCACCAGAGACAGAGTGGGGAGCAGAACAGGCAGATCTATTGAAATACACTGCTGAGGGGAGCAGCAGGCGAGACAGGAGAGGTCTGCTGCGCCATGTGGGTTGCTCCCTGGCCAGCTGGGGATCGAACTCGTGCTGCAGAGGCTGCGGATGGCTTCACAGTGCGGTGCTTAACCCCTTGCACCACCAGGGAGGCCCAACCATCGTGCCGTTTTGAAAGAATTACCCTTGCTGCTCTGTTCAAAGAACATGTAGTTAGAACCTAAATCTTAAATATGGGAAACTTGACAAATTTAAATTTCACTTTTTAAAGTAGAGCCCAAGTAAAAATTTTGAAGCTACTGTTTACTCTGAAATTGTGTCACATTATTAAAAAGTGGATTCATTTTAAATGACCTTTCTCAGGGATAATAGTTCTCAGCTAACAAGGCCAGCCAGCCTGGCTGGCAGGGAGCCCTGCAGACCTAGAAGAGGGGAGGCCAGGGCCTCACTGGCGGGCTCCAGGCACTGTCTGCCTCTTCTCTGCAGGCCGTGGTGGGCATGAACGGAAAGGAGGTGCGCGGGCAGCTGCTGTACGTGGGCCGGGCCCAGAAGCGGGTAGAACGGCAGAACGCGCTAAAGCGCAGGTTCGAGCAGATAAAGCAGGAGCGGCTGAACCGCTACCAGGTGAGGGTCAGGCCTTCCGGGGGCCACTGCTTCTGTGTGATCCTGTCTCTGGCAGTCCCACTTTGGGGAACTTGCTCTGGGGATGCTGGGAGGCTGCAGATTCTGGGTGATGGACACACGGGGGGCGCTGGGGTGTGTGGGTGCTATTGTAGACTAGGAAGAGAAGGCTTGGTGGGCAAGGCTTCCAATGTTCCCCATGGCCATGGTACCCCACCCCTACCCGCTTCTGCCAAGGCACTCCAGGGCACAGGGGAGAAGGGGCACGTCTAGCAACCCCTTCCTTCCAGGGCGTGAACCTGTATGTGAAGAATCTAGATGACTCCATCAATGATGAGAAACTGAGGAAAGAGTTCTCTCCCTACGGAGTGATCACCAGTGCAAAGGTGAGGGCGGGGGCACCAACAGGGTCTAGCCTCCCCTCCCAGCCTCTCACTGCCCCAGCACCCCCTCTTCCCTGGTGGCTTCCAGGGAGTTGGTGCTGAGCAGTACTCCCTTTGCAGTCAGTGTGTTACCATTGGAGCTTCTTGTCCATCCGCAGCCTATCTGGGCTGGAGGGGAAGAGAGTAGAAATACAGTCCCAGTCTCACAGCTGCACTTCTGGGGCTCACTGTAACCTTGGTTCGTGTAGCAAGCATTTATTGAGTGCCTACTGTATGCCAGATTCTAGATATTCATGTCTCAGGATTTGCTAACTTTTATTGTCTGGCCTTGGCTGCTGATAAAATAATCCTTCTGGGCTGCATCTTTCCCATCTGAAAAGGAGGGTTTGGAGTGCCTTGTTCTTAATTCATTCTTCCCCACTGTGCCCAGTGTTTGGAGCATGCTAGCCGGCCATTCTACTTGGTAGCTCTGTGACCATGAGCGGGTGTCTTCTGGGTCTCATCTAGAGGAGGGCAGCCTTGGGCTGAAAGGTTCTCAGTCCTGGCTTTTCATTATAATCCCCTGGGTACCTCTTGCACACAGATCTGAGTCAGACAAAGGGAAAGCAGATCTTGGGAGTAGGGTCTGCCTGGGCATTTTTTTTTTTTAATGCTCCCCAGATGACTTGAAGGGGGACTCAATGTTCGTTCCATACTAAAGCATCTGCTGTTTTATCAGGCCCATTGGGAAAGCAACAAGTCTGATGTGGTACTTGCTCTTGAGTATAGTCTAGTGGGGAAGTAAAGTGTATGGACAGGTAGGGTGGGGGGAGGTAAATATTGAAGGTGGAGCTTGGGCAGCTCAGTGGAACAGGAAGGGGGGCTTTGTGTAAGAAGTGGCAGTGGCAGCAGTATTTGACTTGGCTGTGAGAAGGTAGGGAGCTGAAGGAGGGAAGGAGGAACTTGCCAAAGAGATCTGTGTGGTTGCTGGGTCTGAAGACCTGCACTTGGGTCTTTGGAAGTGGTCTAGAAGTTCTCTTGTGCCTGTTGGATTGTTTCCTCTAGGGAGCCAGGTGTTGGAGAAGAGATTCTCACAATTTTTGAGGTTAGCACCTTTTGAAAAGAATGTGACAGAAGCTGTGGGACATGTAAGTTAAGTTGACTAAACATAATAAAAAGTTGTGGGCTCCTTCCTGATAAATGTGCTTCAGAGCCGGGACTTTAAAGTTAATCAGAACAGGGTCTAAATCTCAGGCATACCATTAATGAGATTATTTGCCTGTAGAACGTGAGGCAGGTGCCTTTGCCTTTTGGACTACTGTGTACCCATCTATAAAACGGGGGCAACATCATCTCTCCAGGTGTCCTGAAAATGAAAGCAGCTCATGTAGCACAGCTGCACACAATAGGGGGTGAAGCTGTGATTGTTCTAATTAATCACACACATGCCCCATGGTTTCCTTCTAGAAGGGAACTATTAACAGCTCTGGCTTGTTGAGAGTGGAGACACTCCTTGAGGTGACACCTTGTTAAGTGGCTAAATGGGTTATTAAATGGGAAGTTTTTTTTTAATAGAAGAACTGGGGTGTAGGCTTGAGGTACACAGGGCATGAGAGGATTCACCAGAGACAGAGTGTGGGACAGAACAGGTGGATCTACTGAAATACACTGCTGAGGGGAGCAGCGGGCGAGACAGGAGAGGTCTGCTGCACCATGTGGGTTACCGACTTGGCTGGGGATCGAACTCAGGCCATAGCAGTGATAGTGCTGATACTGAACCCCTAGACCACCGGGGAGGCCAGGTTTATATGTTTTTAATACATTTTCTATTTTCTATAAAGTGCTATGATTTTGAAAATGAGTTAGAGTTTATATACACTATCAAGCTCATAGTAAGAGCTGTATAATTGTTACTTGCACACATTTTATTCATTATGTACTAACAGTAGTTCTTATTAACTTAAGACAAGATTTTGTGGTATGATGATAACTTGACTGTCAGGCAAAGACAGTCTGGACCCCATCTGAAATTTATTTTCAAAGATTTATTCATGCATACAAAAACCGGGGTACAGATCAGATGTGCGGGAGGGTGAGAGGATTCACCAGAGACAGAGTGGGGAACAGAACAGGCCGACTAACTGAAATACACCGCTGAGGGGAGTAGTGGGTGAGATAGGAGAGGTCTGCCATGCCACGTGGGTATCTCTCCAGCCAGCCAGGATCGAACCTGCGCTGCAGAAGCTTCACAGAGCTGCACTCAACCCCCTGTGCCACCAGGAAGACCCTGAAAATATTTTTAAACGCATAAAATAAAATTCATAGGAATACAAAAACCAATTACATTGATATATAATTATTAAGATCCAAACGTACTTCTTTAGAATTTAGAGTCTACTGTATTACTACTGAAGGAGCAAGGAGCATACATGATAATTTGAAATCAGCAGTAATGTGATAGGATAATATTTGATTTCCCGACAAATTCACAAGCGTGGTTAATACTAATTTTGTCGTTGTTGATACTCAAAATAAAAGGAAACGCTAATATGAGTATAAGGAACAAAGCCCCCTGAATTCTTTCCATGTAGCACAGCTACACACAATAGGGGGTGAAGCTGTGATTGTTCTAATTAATCACATACATGCCCCATGGTTTCCTTCTGGAAGGGCCTCCCTGAGCTCTCAGGTTAAGGCTCCGCTGGTGATGGGTCTCGAAGTGCAGTTGGAAAATCACTGGTCTTGTGCACGTGCTGCACAGAGCAGATTTGAAAAACATCTCAGCGCTAGGCCTTATGGTGTGAGCCAAGCTAGCATCTTGGCCCTAGAAAAGGCCAAGAATCTTCCCTGTAAGTAGGTTGGATCTTGGAAGAGTGAAAACAGATGAGTGGAAAAACTCCACACGAAACCTGTCTTTCACAGCTGTAACAACACTGTAGTGAACAGGGGCTAGGAGCTGAGAGTATTTTAACATTGATACTGTGTTTTGAGAAGTGGGCTATGTCTACACTGGGGCAGGCCGGCTGAGAGGTCAGCACAGGGAGTTGCTGTTTTTCAAAGCTTTTCTATAAATCTAGTTATTCCAAAATATAAAGGTTCTTCTCATCAAAAGACTAAGAACCTCTTCCCTAGACTGTTGGGTTCAAGTTCTGGCTGATGTCTGATCCACTGACTGGGTGACCTGGACAAGCCCCATTTTTTCCCCCATGATAATTAGGACTTTTCTTTCTACTGAGATGTTAACAGAATAAAGTGCCTAACTATAAATCCAAATTCCCACATTCCATACAGATCTAATCCCTAATTGGAGTTGCCAAGAAATAGAGCAGTGAAGAGCATGTGTCATGTTTATAATTCACAGATGAAACTGGTGCACCAAGAACTTAAACCCAGGCAGTAGCTGAAGTGCAGACTGTTTGCATCAGAGTGACCTCAGCTGCAAGTGTTAAGAAGGGGGCCCTGCTCTGTTCTTAGAGAGCCAATTGTAGAGCACCTGTCCCTTCCTTTTGTTCCCTCTGATGAAGGTAGATACCGTACCACCAGCCAGCTCTCCAGCAAACCCTCCTCTAGAGTGCAGCTATTCTCACTGGGCTTGGGTCTGGAAGACAGGGAGCAGGCCTCTAGGAAACTGGGGTTTCTCTGGTGGCACAAGGGGTTCAGTCTCAGCACTATGAAGCTATCTGCAGCAGCCACTGCAGTGCAAGTTCGATCCCGGCTGGCAGGGCACTGACCCACATGGCACAGCAGACCTCTCCTGTCTCTCCTGCTGCGCCCCTCAGCAGTGTGTTTCAGTCAGTCTGCCTGTTCTGTTCCCCACTCTGTCTCTGATGAGTCCTCTCACCCACCGCACCTCTGGCCTGTACCCCAGTTCTTGTATGCATAAATAAATAAATCTTTAAAAAAAAGAAAGAAAGGAAACCTGCGCGAGTTCCCTCACTGTGAACGAGTCGCCATCCCTCCCTGACTTGGTGGCTGTGCGTGGTGCGAGGAGTCATGTCAAGTATCTGGCACGCAGTGGGCCTCAGTAAATGTGGGGTGACACTCCCCCCAGGATGGTGGGTGTCTCCTGGGCCTGCATGGTGCCGGGCTGGGCCCTGCCCCGGGGGGAGGGAGCGAGGCCCCAGGAGTCTTCTCCCCACCCCCAGCAGCCCTTGTCTTGTCTTGCTTTTAGGTGATGACAGAGGGTAGCCACAGCAAGGGGTTTGGCTTTGTGTGTTTTTCCTCTCCAGAAGAGGCGACGAAGGCCGTGACAGAGATGAACGGGCGCATCGTTGGCACCAAGCCACTGTATGTGGCGTTGGCCCAGCGCAAAGAGGAGCGGAAGGCCATCTTGACCAACCAGTATATGCAGCGCCTCTCCACCATGCGGGCCCTGAGCGGCCCCCTCCTGGGCTCCTTCCAGCAGCCCACCAGCTACTTCCTGCCCGCTGTGCCCCAGGTGATGGCCAGCCCGCAGCCCCGTCCAGGCCCTTCCGCTGACCACCAGGTAGTCAGAGCTTCACGGGCAGCCGAGGGCCCCCGACTTTGTCAGAAAATCACTAGGCAGGTCTTTTCCAGCCATCTGTAAAAGAGGCTACCAGCACGTCCCCAAACTGAGACTCATGGGGGTTGTGCTGAGATTCTCTGTGGCCCACTGAGTTTGGGAAATACATTAAAAGAAGCCTCGATTTCCTCACTCTGTATGTTATTCTCTGGTAACAAGCCAGCATGCGTATGTATGACTTTGCTGCACTGGCAGAGCAGAGGCAGCGTTTCCCCAACTTAGATGCCATTTTGTATGGGGTGCGTGCTGGACGTCAGTGTTCCGAGGAGCCCGGTTTGGGAAAGACACCCGTGGGACCTGGAGGAAGTAGAAAGATGTCAGCCATCAAAGGCTACCGGGCAGGAAATATTCCCCTCTTTTTAGCAGTTGCTTTAGCTGACCCGAGTTACACTGGGCTGTGTCACCACTTGATCCAGGTCACTGGATTAACAAGGCACAAGGATGGACTCTGTGCAGGGGTCAGGACTAGTGGGCTCCCTGGGATGGGAAGCAGGATTCTTCATCCCAGCCTGGCGGGGCTTTCCTCCCCGGCCCTCTGGAGGGGATAGAGGAAGGCCTGCAGCCACATCCCCGAGGGGAGTGCAGTTTCTCCCCTCTCCTGCGGCAGCCCCCTCACCTCCGTCATCTCATCTCCCATGCAGCCTCCAGCCCAGGCTGCGTACTATGGCTCTGGCCCCATAGCGCCCATCCAGCCAGCTCCCAGGTGGACGGCCCAGCCGCCTCGCCCGGCTTGTGAGTGACTCCGCCTCTTCCACTTGGCCTGGCCCGTGGGTGTGGGTTCCCAGGGGCAGCATGTGACACTAGCGAAGAAGGTGGGCTTCAGAGTCAAGCTGGCTCTGCCACTCCCCAGGGCATTTGTTTGGGCAGTAGCTTCACCTCTGCAGCTCAGTTTCCTCCTCGGTGTGGGCCTGAGTGAGGCATGTGTAGAGCAGCAGCACAGCACCAAGCTCTACAGACCCCGCGGAGTCACTGTCTTCGGTTAGCTCCAGAGACCTGTCTGATGTGTGACTGTGAAAGTTCTGGCAAAGCTGAGAAAATGAAATGCCTTTGGCGTTTGGGATGTTGTGTGGCCCTTGTCTGAGAGAGAAGTTCGCCCTGACTTGAAACTGTCTTTGGGGAGAAGGTGTTGCTCACGATCCTGGGGCTTTGTAATTGCAGGTGCCCACAAGCCTCTCCCTGGAGTTCTGGGTCTGCCCGACTAGGGGTATCCACTCATCTCTCTCTGTGAATGTTCTAGTTTCTCTTGCCATTTCCTTCCTCACCCTGAAACTTCAGGGCTCAGCATGTCACTCTGATGATCTCCCTCCTGCCCCCTCCTGAAATCCTGTTTTTTTTTTTTTCTTTGCTCCACAAGCTACCTACCACCCACCTACCTCCATGGTCCGGCCGCCCCCCTCATCTCGGCGCCCCTCTGCCCACGTCAGCAACTTTAGGCAGGCTTCCACCCAGGCGCCACACCCGGTGCCCCACACTCAGCGAGTGGGTGAGTGTGGGCAGGGCCAAGAAGAGGGTGGGGCAGGATTTGGTGCCTGGCTTGGATGGGAGGGGAGTCAGCAGCTGCCCTCTGTGACCTTCTGATCACCACACAGAGAGCAGGGCTGGCTCGGGAGGCTCCAGAGTTGCCCAGACCCAGTTCCTGGCACGAACTCCCTCTGTGGCCTTGCTAACTGCTGGGTCTAGTTGCCAACTCTTTAAAGTAGAGATGAAAATAATCCTCCTTTTTGTTGTGAGGGTGAGATCACATGGGAGCAATATGGTGCCAGATCTGAACCTCAGTAAGCCCAGCAGCAGCTGTGAGGCAGGTGTAGACCCGGGTGTAAGGCAAGCACATGTGTTTCTTCCTGCATTGGGCCAATTTTACACATCATCTTCAAGCTGGCTCCGTGCTCCAGCTGGGGAGGCTCCGTGAGGGCTCACGAGTCAAGGAGTTTTCAGGGGCCGTGGGGCCCTAACACCCCTGCTTGTTTCTTGCAGCTGACATTGGCACCCAAACCACAGGCCCCTGTGGGGCAGGATGCTCTACGCCAGGCGGCCCGCTCCTGACTCACAGATACTTCTCAGTGCCACCCACCACCTGCGGGGTAAGGGTGAGCTGCCCTCTGAGCCGCGCTTGTGGGGGCTGGTGCAGAACCTGGCAGAGGCGTTGGCCCTTTCTGGGTCTTGGTTTTCTTTCTTGTCTTGCCTGGTGAGGTTAATGTCTGTCAGTACGATCAAGAAGAGATCACCTTTACCGACTGTATCTCATCTTGTTTATTACAATTTGTTTTGCTTTGGGTTATTACCAAAATTAGTTTAGATTTCCTTAGCATTTGTTGAGCAGCAAGGATGCGATTAATCTGCAAAGCAGAACTGAAAATCTCGACTGCAATTAAAAGGCTTTCCTCCTGCCCCTCCCACCGTGCCAGTCTCCAGCGCGGCATTATCATATCCTGTCTAGAATCTACACTTCTATTTTTTGCACAAGAAACCAGAGTGGCAGCAAAATGCATTTTAAATTGCCAGGGTGTGAACGGGTCAGAAAGGGCTTTATTTTGGCACAAAGTCATCAGTAATGGATGGCTTTTTTGGGGGGCCTTCGAGGCTTCCAAGCCCCGTGAAGACCTTCAAAGTCAGAATGTAACTTAGTCGCATGGCCCCTGTTGCCCTTAAGGAGTGTTTCCCACCCAGTCCTCCATGCCTCCCCCCACCCTCACCGCCGCTTCCTACACCACCTGGCAGGGGTGAGTGTTTTGAGGCCTTGCCCTTCGCTGGTGTTAAGGCTGTGTCCCGGTACCACACACAGGTCCAGGAGCCTGCTGTGCACATCCCGGGACAGAAGCCGCTGACGGCATCCATGCTGGCCGCTGCACCGCCGCACGAGCAGAAGCAGATGATTGGTGAGTGGCTGGCTCCTGGCTGGAGCAGGAAGAGGGGGCTGAGGGCTGGCTAGTCTGGTGGAAAGCACCCCGACTGTAGGTCAGACCTCAGGACAAGCACTTTTGCTGGCCAGGCCACTGGGTTACCTTCCCCACCACGTTGCCGGTATTCTCTAGGCCGCTGTTTCTCATCTTAGCATCCTGGCCAGACCAGATGGTCCTGTGATTTTTCCAGCTCTGTTGTTCTATGGGGCTCAGGCTGAGAAAGATCCCGGATGTGGTAGATGAGGGGCCGGAGGAAGAGTAGGTGCCTGGTCTTGGGTTTCATCAGGGCACGTTACAGCTCCCCACATCTCTCTTGAGTGGGAAATAAGTGCACTGGGCAAACGAATGTCACCCGGCTGCATTCCCTGTGCAAGTCCTCTCCACCTGCAGGGTCTGTGGCAGGCCCTGAGAGGACGCCACTAACTGCGGAATGAAGGAGCAAGCTTGCTCCTGGTATGCAGGTTCATTGCTTCATGATCCCCAAGATCCCAGACCCTTCTCTGAAGTCTTCCTTTGCCAGTCTCCCCATTGTTTCCTAGTCCACTTGGGGTTTTGCCTCCCCACAAAGGAAAGTTCCCAATGGTGTTAATGGTGGTAGAAGGCTGACAGTAAGCATCTTCACTTTCCTCATGGGAGACCCTCTCCCACTAAAGGCACCCCTGCTGCTAGACCCTCTGTGTGTTGCCCAGAGAGGTTGGCCACCGCCCCTAGGCCTTGGGTACTAGAAGTACCCGAGGGTGGAAGTTAATTAACCTTGTCTATTTGGCTCCCCCCGCCCCAAAGTCAAGTTCAGCAGTATCATATCCTGTCTGACATTTCGATGTGTACACTTGGAGTTATTTCTTGCAAAATGAACAAGAGTCATCTTTAAATGGCAACCAGCTTTGTGCCGAGCCTAGGCAGAGTACATCATAATTTGATTCTCTAAATTCACCCCTAAGGTGGGGTTTGCTATGCCTGTGGAATGGTCAGGGGGAGGCTTAAGTGACACAGTCTGGCAGGAGCAGTTCTGGGACCAGTACTCAGAGGCCTCCCTGCTCTATTTTATTTATGCATACAAGAGCTGGGGTACAGGCCAGAGATGCGGGGGTGAGAGGATTCACCAGAGACAGAGTGGGGAACAGAACAGGCAGATTGACCAAGTATACTGCTGGGGGGAGCAGCGGGCAAGTCAGGAGAGGTCTGCTGTGCCATGTGGGTTGCTCCCTGGCAGGCCGGGGATCGAACTCATGCTGCAGAGTCTGGCAGATTTCTTCATAGTGCGGTGCTTAACCCTTGCATCACCAGGGAGGCCCTCCCTGCTCTATTTCATGGTACCACCCCGGAATGCTGGGGTACCAGCCAGGTGTGTACACGAGCCATTAGAGCTGTCCCACACAGGTGAGCTTCTCTACCCCCTAATCTACGATGTCCACACTCAGCTGGCTGGCAAGATCACAGGCATGCTGCTGGAAATTGACAACTCAGAGCTGCTGCTGATGCTGGAGTCTCCAGAGTCCCTCCATGCCAAGGTGGGCCAGAGCCTGAGCAGGCAGGAGAACTAACCACGAAGGCAGCTGCTGGCCGAGTGAGCAGCTGCTCCTGGGCAGCTGGTTTGTCTTGAACACCAGCTAAAACTTGCAGACTCTTGGCATGGGAAAGGGCCAGAATGAAGGGCTTGCCATTCCAGCCCCTCCACAGAGGAATTCTCTGCAGCTCCACAGGCCAAGCTTTGGTAGCAGGAGCAGTGTTCTGACTCAGTGTAAGGGTTACCATTTTCCCAGCTGTCCAGCAGTTTACATCTGTCTTGAGAAGGCGACTGGGTTTGTCATGAGGCTTGCAAGCAGCAGAAATGCTCTGGAGGGAGGGACATTCTTGTACCTCACATTCTGGGAGGGGCAGGGGGCGGGGGAGGCTCTAAGTCCTTCCACTTGTGTCCCATAGGTGGATGAGGCTTTGGCAGTGCTGCAAGCACATCAGGCCATGGAGCAGACGAAAATCGTGCCCTGACATCAGGTGGGTGGGGGAGGGGCAGCTAAGCCCAGAAGCTGTGAAGAACTGGCCAGGAACTTTCACCAGCTCCCTGAGAAACCTTTGTACTGCTTTCTGAGGCGCCAAAGAAGGAGTCTGGGGGGGAAGTTGAGGGCCAAAGGAGAGGATAAACTGTGCTTACAAAGGGCACTGATGCTCCTGCGAAGTGAAGGTGTTCCCTGGCCAGCCGCCCTGTCTGGCCTGACTCAGACTGGGCTGGGTGCCCCCTGGACATGGCCTGACTCCATTCTGCTTGCCTCACAGCCTGACTGGGCCTTGTCTCTGTACTCAGTGGAAGGCTGGGTATCTGCCGTACTTTGGAAACATTTATTTTTTACCTTTCATGCCCAGAAAATGGAACCCTCACTCCCCTGGCTGACAGAACAGCATTTCCTGCTCATGACTCTAGGCCTGTGAATCATAACTTATTTCTCAGTTGGGCTGTACCTTGCGCTGGAGCTCTGTGGAATGCAGGCGGGTCACTTAGCAAGCCTGTTGCCTTTTGCTTTGTGCATTAAAAGTGCTGCAAAATATCTTGTCTTCCAGAAGCCTCCTTTTCCTGGGGTGGTGGGGCAAAGCAGAGGGCAGGCTTGACTGGGTGGGGCTTTGGCAGGAAGGAACTGAAACCCAGGCGGCACAGAGGGTCCATATACAAGAAGAGAACTGTCGGGAACTGACAGGTGCAGCGTCCTGCCCACCGCAGGTGCAGAGGATGGCTAAATGGCTGCCGTTCCAATGCACTGAATGACCTAAGCTACAGGTGCCCATGCCAGATGTGCGTGGGGCTGATGGAGGGGTTGTGTGATGTCATAAAGCAGCAGCCTTGTGGAAAAACTTTAGAACGCTTTCCCAGGTCATGGCTTCCTTCTCCAGGAAGGAGGAGCCTGCTGGGCACAACTTTTGCTTTCATTAATAAACAAAGATTCTTGCCTTCTAGACCTCGAACAGAAAGTCAGTTGTAGCTGGATGTCACTTCTAAACCTGCCTCAAATAAGGTAAGAGTCATACTTGTGGAAGAGGTGGCAGTGAAAGGGGTACAGCGCCCCACTTTGGATTGCCCCCAACCATTGCAGACAGCATTTGTCTGCAATTACTCAGTGACCAGCCTTCAGAGGTCAGAGGCAGTGGCTGGATGCAGCTCAGCCTGTGTGAAGAGGGGCAAAGGGACAGTACAAACCCTGTCTGCCCTGCTTTATGGAGTCACCAAACTTCTATTCTACTTGGGTGAACCAGGACACAGCCAGGAAGTGGAAGGCAGCCCTTAGTTCCTGCTGGACCCTCATGCACTCTGCTGCCGCCTCCACACCACTTCCTGTGAACTGGAGGGCACTTTCTGGCCCCTGTCCTTTATCTACTTTCCCTCCCTGCTTCCCCAGCTGAACTCCCATGTAGTAACTCACTGCAAGCTTTGCTTCCTCAGGGAAGTAAAGCATTGCGATGACGCCTTAGAAGCACTTGAGCTGCTGCAGCTTCCTCTTGTGTGACTACTAGACTGTCAGGCCTGTTGATTCACTGTTGCTTCCCCAGCACAGCAGTATACACGGCCTGGCCACGGCAGACACTTGAGTAAATCTGAGTGCATGAATACTCAATAAGCAGGTTTATTATAACTGCAAAGTTCCAAGCACAAAGCTAGAAAGGCATAAATGAAAGTGTAACAGACATGATGTAGAAGACTTTAATGCGATAGCTTCAACACACAGTTCAACAAAACAGGCGGCAGCTGAAACTGAACATCACATAAAGAATTGCTGGGTCGGCAGCCACGGCTGGGTCACAAGGCAATCCCTGCCTGGAACGTAGGGACGCAGACTTCAAGGCCTTCCTCCCCATCCCACCTCTGGGAGTGGCCACGCCACTGGACTCTCGAAACAGCTTAGGCACCTCTATCAGGAGGCCGCAGCTTGGAGCCACGACTAAGCCATCCAAGGGTCAGGGTTCCTCACTCCCACCAAAGGCGGGGCAGAGAGAGCCCTGGCTAAAAGGCACTGGGGCTCAGAACACGGGACTGTGCCAAGGACAGGGTGGGACATCAGCCCTAGAGAACCAGCTCACCAGGCTGCTTGGACGGGCCAGGGCTTTCTAGTCAACCCCTTGCCCCTTCAGCCCACCCTGTCTTGCCTCAGCCCCACTCTCAGGTGAACCACGTGAGGGTCTGGTGAAGCTAGAGGAGCAGCACTTGATTTAGAGCATGCTTGGGGCGGGGACGGAGTCAACTGCTTTGCTGGCAAGGCCCTGCTGCGTGACATGCCGCTGTCCAAGCAGGCGCCTGGGGATCAGGGCTTCAGCTCTAGTGGAGACCTTTCCAGCAAACCAGTACCTGTGCTTGGCTACACTGAGCTTAATTTGAACAAGCAAGGCCTATTAAGAGGTGGGGTGCCGTTGCCTCTGAGGGGCTGAGGAGGGTGCTTCTGAGCTCACTCTGGGGCTGTTGGGTCCCAGAAGCAGGCACAGAGGAAGGAGGTCTGGTAGAGGTTTCCTGCTGCCCTTTGGGTTTTTACTTTAAGCTCTGGTTAACTTCCTGCTGCAACTTCTGTGCAGGGCCGTTCTTGGGCTCAATCTGCAGGAGGCTGCTGAGGTCTGCACAGCTGGATTTATAGTCCTAATAGAAAAGAGAAGGGTGTGGGGCCGGTGCCTTGACTGAGGTGAGATCGAGTCAGGCAGGGGAAAGCTGTCCATACAGCAAAGAGCTTTCAAACCCCAGCCTGCAGGCCTGCCCCTAGCTAGCTGGGGCGTGGGAGGGGAAGGGCCTCAGAGAAACCACCTGGCCTTGACTGTCTGTAGCTCTGTTGGTACCTTTTGTCCAGGATCTCTTTACCTTGAGAGCCTTGTAGGCTTGAGCTCGTCTATAAAATGCCTTCACGTTCTTCCCATCCAGCTTGAGGGCGTCTGTGCAATCCTCCACTGCTTCTCTGTACTGCTTCAGGACCAAATGGCAGAGCGCTCTGAGGGGAAAGACATTTCAGAGGTTTCAGTCACTCCTTAAGGGCCCCGAGGTAGTCTGAGGAGCCATCTCTGACTCAGCAAACACCTGCTCTGTGGTGACTCTGGACCTTCAATCCTCTCAATAGGCCAAGCTCCTCAGAAGGGTAGGACTTGCTCAACTGGGGGGCAGACCCCACACCCAACCTGGGGTCATGTGACTCCAGAGCCTGAGCTTGTTTAGTTCTCTCATTCTGTCTCCTTCCTGCTGCCCTCCTATACTCTTTCAAGCAAGAAAAAGCTTCCTGAACACTTTCCCTTGACAGATTAAAAGTTATCTACCTTAACAACCCAAACACCAGACTTCTCATCATACCCATGCTGACACGCCAGTGGTGAAACATAAAGCTGCATCAAAAATAAGATGGACTGACAGATGGTGACAAAGCATCTAAAACACGGTCAAGAGAACATCACGATGTTACCTGGGCCCTTCGGGGATGGGTACACGGGTGTGGAATATGTAGTTCTTTCAACCTACATTTTGAAAATTTTTATAATGTTGGAAAAAGTCAGGTATATCCACACAAAAAAAATTCTGCATTTTGGGGGAAAAGTATGTCTGTGTGTATCTTCTAGTCTTTTCTCCAGCGAGAGTCACTAACAGACGTTTCCTGGAGTTCACTATCTAAGTCCATCCACTCCGCCAACCTGTGTTCCGTCCGGAGTCTTCACGGAGTTGGGTATACCATGATTTATTCTACCAATTGCCTCTCTGCAGATACCTTTCACTGTTTCTAGTTTGTAAACAGATGATGCTGCCATTTGAGTGTCCTTGTGCACAAACCTTAGAGGCCGCCTGGGGGAAGTGCAGCATCAAAGAGTAAAATTTTGATCATTATTGCCAAAATGCTCTCCAGAAAGCTGGACTAGTAATCGTTATTGACAGCGCCTATTTTCCTGCAACTGGACCAATCTTGGGTCTCAACTTTGAATTTCTCCCAACACAAGAAAAGCCTCACTGTTCTAAGCATGGGTAAAGCGGAGTATCTTTACATAAGGGTTTTTAATCTTACGAAATCAGAACTATCCAACTTCTTCAATGACTTGTGGATCTCTCCTCCCCCACAGAAGAATACTTTGGCCACTGCAACATAATGAGCCTGTGCATTCCTATAGAACCAAATGGTTTCACTTTTTGCCTTTGAAACTATGATCCACTTAGGATTTATTTTAAAAAGTGAGGTAAGGATCAGGGTTATTTTTAATTCTTATTCAGCCAGCGTAAGCAACACCAGGCATGGGTAAGCCCTTTTTCCGCCACATTTTACCATACACTAAATTCTCCTATGATGCTGTTCTCATTTTTTCCTGACAAACTTGAATTATCATGCACCAACAAGAAAAAATTCTAGTGTTTTCATTGAGATTGCATGGAACTTACAAATTAATTTAGAAAAAGCTTCCCCTTCATAATTTAAAGGTAGGTACACGTTCTTTGGCACTCTTACCACTTACGGGGTCCCGTGTTCTCTCTCCGTGAAATCAGGCAGGCTCTACCACTGCTCTAACGTACAGAGGGAAGGTCGTAACCTGAGTTCCAAGACAAAGGCACAGGAGGTCGTGTAACTTCCACCTCAGTCTCTGGGAACACCCGCTCTTGGAACTGTGACCTGACACATAGGAAGCCAACTCCCCTGAGCGTGCCACACGGTGCGGAAGCGCACAAGCAGCACTTATGAAAACGCTGCCGGCCTGCTCCAGGAGCTCCACCCCCAGGCCATGTGCACTATCCTAGACCTGGTACCAAATGTGCAAAAGAAGAAACCTTTATGTAACTCTAGTCCTTGCTACCATCTTGTTGACCCTGAATGAGAACTTTTCTTTCCAGATTTCAAATCAAAGGCAAAATAAAATAGTTATAAGCCACTCAGCTTTAAAATAGCAATCCTAGACCTAAACTTTCCACACAGTAACTAGGCTCTGGTAACTGAAAGAACTGGCCAAGTGTTTGGGAAGTAGAGAGACCAGAGTGAAAATATTATATCCTCTGTAGTGACATGCAAATATCAACACTGTGATGAGCATTTGCACATGACTTCTAAAGATTCTATCTGATGTTAAAAATGCATAACTTTGCCTATAGAATAAACATCCTTGGCTTTGGGTAAACAGAATGATCTTGTATCCAGTCAGAAGGTTTTCATTACAGAGGAGTCTAGGAGGTAACATGAGTAAGAAGGAACCTAAGCTTCGGAGTCACTGAGACCTGCTGCAGCCCCAGCTCTACCACGTATTAGTTGTGTGACTTAATCCATCCTTCCGCACCTGTTTTCTCCTAGGTAAAATTGGAACATGCCCTAGCCTGAAGGACTGTTCTAAGGACAAAATGAGATTCTTCTGGAAGGCGATTCGGGCTCGGGAAGTTGTAGAGGCCATGTACGTGAGTGGTGATATCCATCCAGGTATCAGGTGTACAAAGAGAAGCAGTCAGGGATGAGGGCTGTTCCACACAGGTGCGCAAATACGCAGACTGACGTGCAGCATCTGTGATGTATGCGTTCAGCCACAGTGAGTGGAAATTCAATTCTGTATAAAGTTACTGGCTCTCTAAATTTATAAATTCCAAGTAACCACAACTAAAAAACTCAACAAGATACTTTTGGAATCTGTCAAAATCAACCTCAAGTTAACTAGAAGAACAAATCTGGGAAAACAGCCAGGGATTCTCTGATTAAAAATGAGGAAAACACCAGTCCTACACGAGGTGACAAAGCAACAGTAATTAAACCAGTGTGGCACAGACACATTTGTGTGAACAGCGGTATTTAAATAAAACAAAACATTGTCTGAATGTGGAAACATCCATGGAAATGGATCGAGAGGTATCCAGCAGCATGAGGTAAGCCAGGCCAGAGCACCCAGAGAGAGAGAGGAGTTAGAAGACAAACAGGGAACAATGGGCCGCCGCCCTCCTTCCAAGTGAGGCTGGCGGAGTGCGGCACCCTGGTCCAGAGTCAGTAAAACCACAGATCTAAAATTCCCAAATCCCAGCTTTAAAAGAAAAGTTCTCTTTTCAACTCACTTGGTCGCAAAAACAGACATGAGGTATTACTTAGTCTTTTTTGATACTACCCTGCCTGTCCATGGGCTATTATATGTTTCTCTGCAGAAAGGCTAACATTTCTGCGCCAGACCCTGCTGGCATGTGAAGTGGTTCCGTGTATGGACCATATTACCTGGTTAAATTCTGAAACATCTTACCCCAAGAGTTTGGGAGAGGGAGCCTACAGTAGTTCCAAGATTTCTGAACTGAAAGTAATATGTGTTGTTGGGAAGAGAGAAAATATTTTTAAAGAAATATTTGGATCAGGGCCTCCCGGGTAGCCCAGGGGTTCAAGTCTCAGCACTATCAAGCTATCGCCAGCCACTGTGGCCTAAGTTTGATCCCTGGGCCAGGGAGCTGACCCACATGGCTCAGAAGACCTCTCCTGCCACCCCGCTGCTCCCCTCAGCAGTGTATTTCAGTAGATCTGCCAGTTCTGCTCCCGACTCTGTCTCGTTGCTCCCTGCATCTCTGGCCTACACCCCAGTTCTTATATGCATAAATAAATAAAAATAAATCTTTAAAAAAAAAGGAATATTTGGATCAGACATAATTCCTTGTTGAATGTTTCAAGATTCTGACAGTGAGACTAACAGCAGCTGACTAGAGTCGGCTTCCAATTCTGGCTCCACCGTTTACTGGAAGGGTGAGCTGAGGCAAAGTCCTCCTTTCTCTTAGCCTCAGTTTTCTCAACTTTAAAACAGGAAGACCACCTACCACCAGTGTTCACGTGCTGGTGCTGAGCAGAGCCCCACACAACAGCAGGACGGGGCCCCTGCTCCCAGGCCACTGACCAGTGAGAGCAGCTCACAGCGCAGAGCCTTCTTCAGCCCCCGAGTCTAACTCTCAGGCTAGACGATCCCTCTCTCTTGGGTCAGGCAATAGTGACTCCACCCCTGGGTTCTGGGCTGCTGCTCTCACACAGACACTGCCAAAGTTTCCAACAGAAGGGTCTTAGAGGAGCCATGCGGTGTGACAGGGGTCGGTGGAAAGGCTATCAGACTTGTGCTGAGGTTGTGTTTGCAAAGCAAACACACTGCTTTTACACATAGTGTATGGTTTCTTGGTTACTGAACATTCTGGGGAGAGGGTTACAAAGCCCATGCTCCCCTTTGGCATCCCTCAGTTTCTCCCCCTTTGAGAGAATGAAGCTGCTCGCAATGCTCACCTCATGGTGACAGAAGCCAGTATGAATTTTTTAAGATGTAACATACTGATGAATGACTCAGGTGAAGAGCCCACCACAGTCCAAGATGGAACTGTGTCCTGAAACTCAGCTGTGTGTTCCAGTCCTGGAACGAACGTCCTGAAATCCCCCAGGCCAGCAGCTGTGTGGAAGATACCTGTTGCTGTACGTGGCAGATTCCAGGTTACTAAACGAGAGGCTTTCACTGTACTTCTCAATAGCTTTCTTATGGTTTCCCTTCTTTACAAGCTCATTGCCTTCTTCCTTCAGAACTCTGGCTCTCTCCACATCCCCAGCAGAAGGCACTAGATACAAATTCAGAAGAGGAAAAAACCATGGAGCAGGTGCCCAATTGAGATTGAGATCTCTTTGGAATTGTCTCTGCTAAGGCATTCACAAACCTCTCTCCCCAAAGACTTATTAAACTGTTATTAGTAATTTTTTAGTGATTAATAATTCCCCCCAATAAAGAAGCCCAATAAGGGCTTCTGAAAAATTAAACAATTTTTCATTCAGAAGGCTGGGACTCTTGATAGACATGTACATGCACATAACATATGTGATCAAAAGCAACCTGGGTGCTAGCCTTGGCACCGCCATTTAGCAGCTGGGAGATCTTGTGTGACTCATGTTTGGACCTCAATTTCCTGACCAATACAATGGGGACAACACCTGTTCCACACAGGGCTACTGCCAGGATGAAACCTGAGAATCCATGAGGAAGTGCACAACATCCTAAGAACTTAAAGCAGGAAAGTATTTACATTAAGCAAGCGTCTGCTAGAGAAAGTGTAGCTCTTGGCTCTCAGGAAAGGGTAAAAGCCCCTTAGTCCTCATCTCTGCCAGGGGCCAAGCCTCAGGCTCCTCCCTCACCTGACCCGGCAGCTCCACCCCAGCCTTCCAGGAGAGAGAGAAGCGAGAACAGGTGAAATCCAAGCAGCTCAGTCCAGCCTTTGAGCCCTTCGCTGGGTGGCCCTATTAATCATCCCAGCTCCCGTATCATCTGCTTTTTTAATTTTTAAAAACTTTTGTCTAGAATACTGAATATTTATGATGAGGGTAAGCTTTTAGGAATACAACAAACACCCCTGGACTCATCTGTTACCTTAAGAAATGCTTACTAGGACCTGGAGCCTTGGGTCCCTCCCCAACTCTGTCTACCCTGGAGGAAACCATTACCCCGATTCTGGGCTTCCTTCCTCTAATTTTTGTTTTGTTTTGTTTAGCTAGATATGACAGTGTCCATAAATCATTTGTCATTTACTTAGTTTTTTTTTGTTTGTTTGTTTGTTTGTTTGTTTTGTTTATACAAGCACTGGGTACAGTCAGAAGCGCGGGAGGGTGAGAGAATTCGCCAGAGCAGGGAGCAGAGCAGGCAGAAGGACTGAAGTACACTGCTGAGGGGAGCAGCGGGCGGCAGGAGAGGTCTGCGCGCCATGTGGGACCCTCCTCTGGTGGCAGGGGAGCAGCCGGGGATCGAACCGGTGCCGCAGAGGCCGCGGGCAGCTTTGCAACCCAGCGCTCAACCGCTGCGCCACCGGGGAGGCCCTTACTTAGTTTTTGAATGTCATGTAGTCGTTGTTTCCTTCTAGGACCTGCTCTCCTGTCCTCTCCACTTCGTGTTCCTGAGCTTCATCTGTGTTGGGGGCGTCCAGCGGCCCAGTCTGCTGCAGCTCCACGCCTGACTTTGCCATCCTGTTGCTGGGGCTCTGGATTACTTTGTTTTGTCCTTTGCTGTTACAGCCTGTCCTGAACATTCTTTCCAGGTCTCCTGTGTACATGGGCAGGGTTCCTCTGCTGGAGCCTGAGGGCTGCCATGTCCATGCATCTGCAGCTTGTCCTCAGCCCTGCCACACTCCTCAGCCTGAATCGTGCTTGTTCCTGCTGCTCACAGGGTGAGGCCCCACCCACACACCTTCCTCCTCAGCTCTCCGCTGTCTCTGCCAGAAGCCCCTTCTCGCCTCCCTTCCTATCAGAAGGCCCAGCCCAACTTATCTTCTCTGCAGCTGCCTTCTCTGTGAGCCTTTATAACTCCCCAAGTGCACTTCCACCAGTCCTATTTTGAACTCCCCAAACACTAAAGATTCTAAAAGCCCTTGTTCTTCTCCAGTATCTTTAAATGCTGTGTGAACATGGTTCAGTATCTCATTGGACTGAGAGCTTCCTAAGCGCCAAGACTGCCCTGTCTGGTGTCCAACTTAGCATAGGGCCTGGGCCCCATGTGTCTCATTGACACCGAAAGAATACCATCAGTGGTAGGTGCACTGAAGCCAGCCGGTTCATCAACAGCCCACATTTTCAGCCTAGGGAAGAGTTAGGAATGTAGGCTCCCACAAACCAGAGTGAGTGCTACCCTTGGGCAGAGAGGTTTCCTCCTGGGAAAGGAAGCCCTAGCCCCCTCTAACACCGAGGGTCATTTACATACAGCAGAGCTCCAGCCCTGAGCCCATGACTCCCTCAAAGCCTTGCTGCCTGGGCTTGGATAATTCCCTGGAACATTATAAAGATCTTGCTTGTGAGCCTCTACCTGAAGAAAGGCCTCTTTGTTTTACATGGTCGAGGTGCAGAGTCTCCTGTTTTAGGTCACGGACTTTGATCTCCCTTCCTTTATTCATCCTCATCCAGGAACTCATGTAGTGGGAGTGGTTCTGGGGAGGCATCACCCACTAGCCATGGATGTGGGGTGGATGGCTCAGGGATGAGCTAATCACAAAAATTTCATCCCTTGGTCACATGACTAATTCACAGAGTGACCTGTGGTGTGAGCTAGGGATCTAGGGAAAAGAAACCCTCTCTTTCTTAGGGAGCTATCAGAAAAAAAAGAGAAAAACCTAAAACTTTTCTTCTGGGCTATGAGGCATGGTAATGGATGAGAGACCAAGAACTACTATTGCTATTTTACTATTAGGAGAGAAAACTGCCCGAAGACAAAGCTGACACGTAGGAGACGAGAGCGGAGAGAAGTACAGAGAACTGGAATCAGAGTCTGATAATGTGAGCTGCCAGAGAAAACTGCGCCCGAACTCGTGTCTGGACTTCATCCTAAGTGATAACTCACACAGGTTGCCAGAGGACTGAGAAGAGAACACCGCCGTGTCCCTGTGTGCCAGGCTGGGCGCTTAACACGCCACTATCACCAAATCCTTACAGCTGTGGGGTAAGTGTCCTCATGGTACAATTAAGGAAACATTCTTTAAAAAGTTAAGACTTTCTGGTTTTGCTTTTACGTCGCTGATCAGACCATTTCTATAACGCAGCTTAAAGAGGTCAGCTTTCACAGGATTGCTCTCAAGAAAGAAGCTAAGGAGACTGCAAGGCTCCCTGGGCAGGAAGTCACAGCTTACCTCTGCTCTGTGCAGCTGTGGTTTCTCTGGACTTGCTTTTAGCTGTCTCTGTGTGGTTTTCTGAAGGCAAGGAATCCCACCTCTTCTGAGCGGAAACAGGCACCAAGGGGATAGTGGGCAGCTTCAGGCGCCACTCCGGCCCCAGTGAGTCCATGAGAGCTCTGGTCATTCTGAAAAGGCAGGCAGGGTTACAGGTTTCTCGCTAGGAAAGGAGGTGAGAGCAAGACTGATCATCTTCCCTTGCTGGAACTGTCTCTCTAGATCCTCTGACATGCAGCAGGAAAGGGACATAAATATCTTCCCAGATCAGCCACCTGCCTGCTGGGCTCTCGAGCTTAGCCGCACTGTGCTACCTTCAGAGTGCTGTTCCTTTTAAAGGTATTTAAACCTGGCCTCAAAGGACTACATAGTCTCTCCACCCCCCAGTCACCACAACTTGTTGATAAACTTCCTAAATGGCCCCTGAATTGGCCCCACCATCTCCTTCTGTCTCCACCCTCTCTTCTGGAGTGCGGCACGCCCCCCTTCCTGTTCTGTTTTCTCTCAGGTCACCCTTTAACATGGCAGCCCATGACCTCTGCTCTAAAATCTGCCTCTGTTGCTCCCCTGCTGAAGATCCCGTCATGATCCCTCATGTGCTTGGGTTCAGTTCAACCCAGTGAGTGCTGGGCTGTGCGATGCAGCCAGTCCCCCACCCTCCGCAACACGGGGCGTGGGATCCGCATTCTCCCTCTCCCAAGTCAGACGCGCTCCTCTTGGCGTGTGCTGCCCTTTCTCCGTGCCGGCCCCTGGTATCTCTCAGTCTCAGTTTACCTTCTCCGAAAGCCCTCTCTGGCTCTCCCGCCTCTCCCTGGCTCATTAGGTGTCCCCTTTCTGCCCCCCCCCCCCGAGCTCTCTGGGCAACCCCTACTATAGATGCATCATACTTGAGTGTGCTTGCCTATTGCTGACTGGTGTTCCCCGTGATGCCAGGGCTCTATGAGAGCAGGAAAGGTAGGGCTCAGCCCCAGAGCGAGTACAGTGTCTGCATACAGCTGGCAGATCTGGTTGGATGAGGTAACTAAAAAGGGGGTAGACGCAGAGAGAAAACGAGTCAAGTCCAAAATGACGCACGGAATACACACCGTCAAATCCTGTTAAGGATTTGCGACCAGTGTGGTGTCTGGCTCCAGGAGCCCATGCAAATGTCAGTCACACATATGAGGGCCTCCTTGAGATAAAGACAAACAATGGCCAGAAAGAAATTTCACCTGCAGGGCCTCCCACGAACAAAGTCCCTGCAGCCTGGTGGACAGCTGCTCTGGTGAGTTCTTTGAAGCAAATGTAGTCTGTATCTCTTTTTATTCACTATCCCCCACAACCTGACATACCACCTTAAATGGAGGTCAATAAATATTAGTGTGTGAATGAATTTGAGCAACTAGGCAAAACAACAAAACCTTAGTAATTCTGACCTCTTAAACACCTGTTAATAAGTAAGACAGCAGGTTCTCCTTTTATACTTCTCCCACATACTGATTAGGAGTTTCTAAGCCTTGCTCAGAGGGATCCTTCCACAAGAGGACTAAGGTAGTGGTCCTGAGGTAATCACAGACAGGAACTCCAGACAGAATGGCTGCAGTGAGTGACCTGGACTCACCTGTTGGTGCCTTCCAAGGCTGACGTCACACTGTCATCAATCTGCAGCACAGTCATGTAGTCAACATAGGCCAGAGGGTACTTCTCCAGAGCCTCGTAAGCCGATGCTCGCCGCAGCAGGGGCTTCATGTTGAAGGGAACCAAGGCCAGAGCTCTAGAGCAGGAGGCAGAAATGTCATTTGGCAGCTGAGCCAGCAGGTTTCCCTGGCAGTGCTTTCCAGGAAGGGTCATCTGCAGCACTCAGCATACAAGTCATTTCTGGCAGAGTCACTGCTAAAATGTCAAACATTAGATTGGGGACTTTCCCACTTACTGAACGTGGAGAAGGGAAAGAGGGCATTAACGTTGTGGAACTTGCGTGCATGTACGTCAACTTTCAGAGCTGCAATACCCTCAGATCAAGAACAAGTGCCCCATGGTTTTCATTCTACTGTGTTTCTACAGGTTGGACCTGGTGGAAAACAGGCCTGGAGTTAGAGTGTGTCTGATTTCCACCTCCGCAATAACCAGATGACCCAGGCAAATCACTTTACTGCCTCAATCATCTGCCACCTCCTGCGCACACTAGGAAAGATGGTTACTTAACCCCATCCAGTGGACGTGAGAACTCCAAGAAGGAAATCTAGCAGAGAGCCTGGTACAAATGAACTTAGCCCAGGCTCATGAACACACTCACTAACTATCTGAATACACACCATCAAGTCCTGTTAAGGACTTGCGATCAGTGTGGTGTCTGGCTCCAGGAGCCCATGCAAATGTCAGTTACACAAATGAGGGCCTCCCTGAGATAAAGACAAACAATGGCCAGAAAGAAATTTCACCTGCAAGGCCTCTTACGAGGAGGCCTCTTTTCCCAACTATCCCGAGGGTATGAATCTAAGCCCATGTCACAGACAATATCATATCTGGGAACACACTGAAGTATGTGTGCTAGTTTGGTGGTGATGAAAGAGGGACTTATCAGATTGGTCTGAGGAAGAAAGAGGTGTGAAAAAAGTTTCATATCCTTTACACTAGTCATTGATGGATACCATTTTCTTCTTTTCCCTTGCTTCTTTTGAGGCCTTCTTTCTTTCTCTACAGTCCTCTCTCACAATATGTCCATTCCAGGAAAACATCTGGCAAGCCAGTCACTAGTCTGAAACTCTACCTCATCCTCAAGCCCCAAATCTCATGGGCTCTAGGGCCTATCTCTAACTGCCTTTTTCAGCAGCAGCAGAGCCAAGACATGATTCAGGGCCTACAAGGACTGAATGACCTGGTGAAACTTGGCGCCAATCTCAGTGACCTGGTGAAACTTAGTGCCAGTTCCCAAAGTCTGTCACAGGTGTAGCCAATGGGATCAAAGAATAAAATAGGTCAGATAAACCCAGACTCCTCTCTCGAGACTCAGGCACCCCGATATTACCCGTGACCACTTACGAAGTGCAATCTTTGATACAGTCTGTGCAGTTTCCATCCTTCAAGTGACATGCTGCTCGGTTGGAGTAGAGAACACTTTCTTCTTCGGGGTCTGAAGAACCTGCCCAGGTGGAGACAGAAAGCGTGAGAAGATGATCAGTTTGGGAAATGGATGCCTTGGGACACTCCGGGCATTTCCCTCCCTGAGCCCTCTGGGTTTTGGTGAAAGGCAGGAGATAACTGTGACCTGAGCAGACTTGTGGGTCTCACAGGCTGGCAAGTTTGTGATTCCTACATGAGAATGAGAGCACCAAGCTTCCTGTCAGCCAGAGGGAACCAAGCAGTATCTCCTTCACTCACTCCAGCACTGAACTTGGTACTGGGCAAAAGACAAACATGATACATCCAGTCTGCATCAAAGAGAATCATGCTGTAATTAATTAGGAGTGTGTTAATCCCATTAAAATATATAAATCCAATTTTCTAAAAAAGAGGAAAAGAACAATATACTCAGTGCTATGCCATGGCCTGAAAAGGTACTGGGGGACATAAAAGACAATTTCTGCTGATCAAGTCAGGGGAAGGACTCAAGTTACCCAATGGGAATAGACATTTCTCTAAGGTAGTTCATACCCTGAGGAATCTTAGACGCTCAGGTCCGTTATTATGGCCACAGTGATTTTCAATTTCAAAAATAATTTTTCTAAACCTTCATCCTTATCGGGTCTCCCCGGTGGCGCAGGGGTTGAGCACTGGGTTGCGAAGCTGCCCACGGCCTCTGCGGCGCCGGTTCGATCCCTGGCTGCTCCCTGGCCACCGGAGGAGGGTCCCACATGGCGCGCGGACCTCTCCTGCCACCCGCTGCTCCCCTCAGCGGTGTGTTTCGGTCCTTCTGCCTGCTCTGCTCCCCGCTCTGGCTCTGGTGAATTCTCTCACCCTCCCGCGCTTCTGGCTGTACCCAGTGCATGTATAAACAACAAACAAACAAACAAATAAATAAATAAAACATGCCTCTATTAAAAAAACAAACAAACAAACAAACTTCACCCTTATCACTATGGGCCATAAGTCAAACAAACAAAAATGAAAACAAGTGTTGCCTAGTAGTTCCATTCATTGTTCTCTAGGAACTGAAAAGCAGATCTATTCTGAAAGTTTTAAAATAGAGAAAGCAGTATAACACATGCTTATTATCCACCACTAGACTCATTCACGTTATATTTGTTTCTAACCTTTATTTCTGATATGACTGAAGCTCCACGCATCCCCATGCTTCCCCCTTTGTTCTGTCCCCATACACCCAGCGGTCAGCGCATCCTGAAGTTGGCATGTAACATTCTGACACTTGTTCCTCTGTCTTTATTATGATGTAGTCACAGGTAAGCAGCATCATTTTGTATCTTCCAATTGCATCATATTGCCTCTCTTTCTGCAACTTGCTTTAGTCACTAAGTATCAAGTTACTGTATTGACACATGATATCTTTCATTCAATACCAACATAACAATACAATAACTTTTTTCTTCTTGTTTTGTCAGTTCCTGTGCGAGACAGCAAAGTACAGAGGTAAGAAACATATCCTTGCCCTTAATGAGAAAGCACAAAAACTCAAAATGTGTAGTCCACCTCAAGTCACCAGAGCATGGTGTGGTGGAAGGAGTATCAGAACCTACAACCCCACCTGGGAGCCTGCACCAGTCACTCAGTCCCTCCGAGTGCTCACCTACCCATCACACGCGGCTATCACTTAGCAGACTTGCTAGGAGGGTTCATTGTGTTAGGTGCTGCCTGCTCTCCTTTCAAGATCAGGAAAACTGATCAGAAAAATCAAGGGGCAGTAACTACCCAGAAACAGTAGCGGGATCAGAACCAAACTCTGGTCCCCTCCTAAATCTAGATCCCAGGCCAGCTGTTCTAGGGACCCAGCATAAATCTATACAAAACCACAAGCTTTGGGGTAGGATGAAAGAAATTGGCAGAAATGTCAACACCTCAGATTCCTCAGCGACATCATTACATAAGGCTGAGATGAAGAGGTGAGTTATACTCTATGATCCAGCAATCCTACTCTAGGTATATATATATATATATATATACACAGAAGAATTCAAAGCAGAACCTTGGAGATACCTACACACCCAACTTCATCATAGCATTACACAGATTAGCCAAGAGGTGCAAGCAATCCAAATGTCCATCAGCAAATGAATGGATAAAGAAAATTTGGGGGCCTCCCTGGTGGCTCAAAGGGTTAAGCACCTCACTATGAAACAATCCACAGCCTCTGCAGCACAAGTTCCATCCCCAAGCCGGCCAGGGAGAAACCCACATGGCGCAGCAGACCTCTCCTGACTCACCTGCTGCTCTCCTCAGCAGTGTATTCCAGTCAATCTGTTCTATTCCCCACTCTGTCTCTGGTGGATCCTCTCAACCCCCACCCCCCAGCACCTCTGGCCTGTACCCCAGCTCTTATATGCATAAACAAATAAATCTTAAAAAAAAAAAAAGTTGGCACACACACACCAGTGGAATATTATGCAGCCTGTCACATGCTACAATACAGATTATAATGTCCTAAGCAAAATAAGCCAGTAACAGAAGAGAAACACGGTATGCTCCCACTCATGGAAACTATTTACAGTAGTGAAAGTCAGAAAGTAGAAAGATGGAGGGCCTCCCTGGTGGCCCAAGCACGGCACTATGAAGCAATCCGCAGCCTCTGCAGCACCAGTTCAATCCCCGGCCGGCCAGGGAGCAGCCCACATGGCACAGCAGACCTCTCCTATCTCGCCTGCTGCTCCCCTCAGCAGTAGATTTCAGTCAATGTGCCTGTTCTGCTCCCCACTCTGTCTCTGGTGAATCTTCTCAACCCACCCCCCACCCCCACACCTCTGGCCTGTACCCGAGCTCTTGTATGCATAAATAAATAAATCTAAAAAAATAAATAAAGTAGAAAGATGGAGACCAGGGGCTGGGGGGAGGGCAGGACTTAGTTTAGCAGGTAGAGCGTTTCAGTGCTGCAAGCTGCAGAAGTTCTAGAGATGCCCTGTGGAGAGACTCACCACTCCTTAACTCTCCACCTAAGGACGGTAAACTTACTGGTGTTTATTTTACCACGATAAAAAATATGATAAAACATTTAGAAGAGCAATGTTTCTGAAGAACTAGCTAGGAAAAAAAAACACTATTTACGGCGAAAAGAAAGAGCGCGCCATGGAAGTTTCTCGAGGATGCCCAAGTCGGCAGTGGGTGGAAGTGCTGTGGCGGGCCTGGCGGGGCACACGGCCGCGGGGAGCGGCCCCACGAAGACAAAGCCAGAGCCAGGACCAGGCAGGGGGGTGGGGGGCGCGGGGAGCGGGCTGGGGGGCCGGGGGGTACCTTGCGCCTGCAGCACCCGCAGCGCGCGGCTGTAGAGCGCGGCGGCCTCGGCGAACTGGCCGTTGCGGAAGCTCTGGTTGCCGGCTACGCGCAGCCCCGCCACAGAGTCTGGGAGTTTGGGGGCCATTCCGGGGCCAGGTAGGCGAATGGGGGGCTCCTGCGTTCCGTCGCCCAGGAGACAGACCCGCGCCGGGGCGGAAGCAGCGGCCGAGGGCGCCGAGAGCCCACAACGGAGCCGGCCCCGAGGGGCGGGGCCTGCGCGGAAGAAGCCGGCAGCGCCGGGCGTCTGCGCATGCTCCGCTCGGGCGTGACGTCCGCGGCGCGCCGGGGCCCTGGCGCGCGGGGCGCTGCTGCTGGCGCGGAAGGAGCGGAGGCCCCGGGCCGGAAACTCTCTGGCCCCTAAAGCCTCCTAGGTAACGACTAGTGAATGATTGATGAGGATCGTTCCAGGGAGACTCAGTTTATCTTCAGCCTCTTCTGACTTAATGTCTGTAGGGAAGGGAAAAGCATCAGGCTTTTCTGCCCTCCCGCCGTTAGGGTTGATGATGGATCCTTGTGGTCCTGAGTGCAAGCCTGATGGCGGGCACCTGGAGGGGGTGTGGGCATGCGTAAGTGGGCACACCTGGGCTAAGGCTGGGGTTCTAAAGGCGGTGTCACGCCAGGAGAGCAGAGAAGCAGAGCCCCCCAGAGAAGGCCGGAGAGCCCAGAAACAGTGAAGACTTGCTGGGGGCTGGGAGGCCAACCTCTGCCTGCTGTGTGCCTGGGGAAGACCAATAAAAGCCTGCAAAAGTCACTGAGGGCTCCAGGACTCCTTTACCCCGACTGCTGGGATCATAGAGATTCTGCCCTGTGTCCTTTACAATGTCCCATTTAACACTCCCATTTTTCAAACGGATTTTGCTGCTTGCATATACTAAGGTATTTCTCTTGCTTCCCAACCTTTCTGTAATTTTTTTCCACTTTTTTTACCTCTTGTCTAATCCTGACTCCAACTACAATCAATTCAAACTTAATCTCTTTTGAATGCCTTTCCTGAGTCCGCCCTTCGTCTATCCTGTTTCTTCTCAGCTTCTGTTCCCTTCTCCCTAATTTAGACCATACCACTCTGTGACTCAGTTTACTCTTTTTTTCTCCAAAGACTCTGAGATCTTTAAAGGCAGGAAGTAGGTCTTTATCTTTTGTTGCCTCAAGACTAGGACCTGGCTCCTGACATGCACTTCAAAGATTTGTTGACAAACACCTGGTCTCTGCCCTGGGGAATTTAGTTGTAAGTATCTATGTAAACTTGTAAGCCAACAGACTATAAACTTCTGATGGCTAGGTGGCCTTCCCATCTGAATTCCCTCAGCTCAAGCCATGCCAGAGGAAGGGTGAAGAAAGCGGTGGGAAACTAAATGAGGCACACAGCCATCCATGTTATTTACTCCACAGCTTTCCCTAAGTCCGAATTTTGCCTGAGATTCTCCAGGACCAGGACATGAACCAGGGTTTCTAAATCAGTAACGACCTCATTCTTTTTGGGCCAGTGATTGGCTAAGGGGTGAGCATGTGACCCATATCTGGCCAATGAAATTAGAGGCTGTCTACCAGGTGTTACCCGGGACAGGTTTTCCTACCTGGGGAGACAGTGGTTTAGGACTTCAAAAAAAGCCTCTCCCCAATTCCACCCCCCTCCACCACCACTACCCTTCTCAGCTCTGGGTAGTCATTTTGTAACTCTGAGGCAATAAGCACACTTAAGAAAAGCCAACATGCTCAGTAGGGCAAGGGGGGAGGGGTGAAATGCAATTGACTTGAGTCACTGAATCAAACTCTGGAATTGCCGACTTCTGAGCTTCATATTAATAAACAACAAATGTCATGGTGACTTAAGCCACTGTTTATATTTTTTTGTTCAGTTGCTTACAGATGAATATATCCTAAGTGATATATCACACAAGTACACTTGTGGCAAGTCGTATTCCAAAAAAGCCCTGAATAGTATTTTGGGTCTTCTGCTTTCTTCCAGAACATTGCCACTCCCCATCAACAGATGGAGCCTAAGTCTGCTCTCCTTGGAACTAATTGGCCCTTGGGACACCCTCAACAGTGGAAATGACTTTATGACCCTGTCATTATAAGGCGCTGTAGTTTCCTCTTGGCTTTCCCTCAGGAATATACTTTAGAACCTGACCTTTTTTTTTGTGAGGAGACGCAAGAAAAATGGGGCAGTCAGCACCAAATGAGCTCTCAGTTAACAGCCACTACCAATTTGTCAGCCAAGTGAGGGGTGAATTTTGTACAGAGATCCATCCAAATGCTGATTGACCTGATTGACACCATGGAGTAAAGATGAACCTTCCCTGCTGAGCTAGATTCAAATTGTAGATTTTTGAGAGAGAGAAAAAAGATCCTGGCTTTATGCTGCTAAATTTTGGGTGTGATTTCTTAGACAGTAATCGATAACTGGAATTCCCTTCCCACCATGCTTCCCATACATGCCAGGGTTGATAAAAGCAGGATTGAAGGCATATATGGGAGAGAGAATTTGGTGGTGGTGGGGAGTGTTGGGTATTATTTAATGAAGTTAAAAACTAAGCCCCCACTCCTGCCCAGCATGCAAGTTTGGGAAGCTTGAATAGATAAGGGAATCCAGTAAGTATACCATGGGAACTAGGCCGTAAGACCAAACGCCATGACCAGAAAAACCAGCTCAGCCCCAGGACCAGAAACAGGGCAGTTCAAAGAACAGCAATAGCAGGCTTAGGACTTGAATATAAAAGGGACGTGGTGATATTAAGAGTTCAGAGGCTGCAGGAGAATGGTAGCTGAAACTAAGTCAGGCCTGTCTAGGAGTTGAAGATGAATTCAATGCTCGGTACTTGATCAGAGGCAAAAAAGATAGAAAAGGAGCATCTCTCTTACTTCCTCTATTGCTGGCTGAGACCAGACAGAAGTCAGGCATGGGAAACTGGGAAGTGGGTCTGCAGGGTCAGTCTCCTATCCAAGATTTCTTAGGCATGAGATCAAAAGTGTCATGTATAAAGAAAAAAATTGATAAATTGGACTTCATAAAAATAAAGAATGTTTACTCTTCAAATGACAAGAGAAGAAAAAGACAAGCTCCAGAACATGTTTGTAAGTCACACATCTGATAAAGTATTTCATCCAGAATATTACGAAACTCTAAAATTTGATAATGAGAAAGCAACCCAATTTTATTTTATTTTTTTAAAGATTTATTTATTTATACAAGAACCGGGGTACAGGCCAGATGCACGGGAGGGTGAGAGGATTCACCAGGGACAGAGTGGGGAACAGAACATGCAGACTGACGAAATACACTGCTGAGGGGAGCAATGGGCGCTACAGGAGAGGTCTGCCGCGCCATGTGAGACCCTCTGTGGCCAGCCGGGATTGAACCAGTGCTGCAGAGGCTGTGGACAGCTTCACAGCGCTGCACTCAACCACCTGCACCACCAGGGGAGGCCCACAACCCAATTTTAAAAAGGGTAAAAGACTTGAATAAACAGATACTTCATAAAGGAAAATATACAAATCACAAGCACATAAAAAGTTCAATGTCATTTCCCATTAGGTAAATGCAAATTTAAAAACCACAATGAGATACCCCTGCATGCCTATTGGAATATCTAAAATGACAAAGATGGATCATACCACCATAGGAGAGGATGAAAATCCTCTGGAACTCATACATTGTTGGTTGAAATGTTAAATGGTACGATCACCTTGAAAAACATTCCTTACCTGCATATTTACTCAAAAGAAATGAAGCCTGTATGTCTGTCCATACAAAGATTTGTATGAAAATGATCATAGTTATTTGAAACCAAATAACCAAAAAAAAAAAAACTGGAAAATGATTACTGTTTTAAATTACACTTTGGGATGGTTTGTTACTCAGTGATAGCTAATAGATACACCTAACAAACTTCTAGTTATTTTTTTGTATCTTTACTTAGCCCATATCCTATCTGGCTCTGGCTACATCTATCTCATCAACTACTTCACTCATCCTTATTTGCTCTGCTCCAAACATGCTAATTCCTTGATGTTCTTTCAATACAAGCCTTTGCCCTGCCTGTTCCTTCTGCCTCAAGTATTCTTTGTACATTAACATGGGCCTCCCTGGTAGCACAAGGTGTTAAGTCTCAGCACTCTGAAGCTATTTGCAGCAAGAATTCAATCCCTGACCAGAGAGCTAGCCAACATGGCGCAGCAGACCTCTCCTGTCTAGCTGGCTGCTCCCCTCAGCAGTGTATTTCAGTCAGCCCTGCTCTGCTCCCCACTGTCTCTAGAGAATCCTCTCCTCTGCACGTCTGGCATGTCCCCCAGCTCTTGTATATATAAATAAATAAAATAAATCTTAAAAAAAATTAGCATGACTTACCCTCTAACTTCAGACAATTCTAGTTTTTTTTACTGTCTTTCTTGTTTGTTTTATTGCTTTTACCCTTGAATGTAAGATCCATGAGCACAGAAACTTCAATCTGTTTTGCTCATTGCTTGGCACTTATCATGGGGCTTTGCCCAGACCAGATATATTCCATAAACATTTGTTGAAAGAAAGACTGACTATTCCAGCTTTTTCAGTTTTCCTGATCCTACTAGGCTTGGTTAGATTTTCAGAAGAAAAATTCAGTGCGTAGCAGGGTGTGAACGTGATAAAGTCAGAGGTAGGGTGTGATCTGGGAGCAGTACAGGAAAAGGGATTTCAGAGGACAGAAAATTGACATCTTGCATGGGGGACCCATGATGTCTTCCTGAAATCTGAAGAAATTCTTATCTTCACTTCATTAGGGCTGTACAGATTTCCAATAGGGCAAAGAGAAAAAAAAAACATGGATTTTGTGGACCAAAAAAGAAAATTCTACACATTGCTTTGCTAGAAATGTTTGCTCTGTTCTGACAAGACTGCCTGAGAGGCTGAAGTCAGCAGAATAAAGGCTTTTTTTTTCTGCTGTGAAGAACCCTGTGGCAAAAAGCAAAGGAAACATCTGAAAAGTCCAGTCCGAGTCTACCCCTGTCAAGTTTATGAGCAGCTGAAAGTAGAAGCATGACTGTCCCCTCACATCTACAGGGGCAGTTTCTAGGATAAAACAATCAAATAACCTTTGGCCTCTACACAGATAACGCTGGCTTAGTCGACTTTGTAAAGTTAAGAGTTCACTTTGAAGTTATTATTTCTTATCTTAAACAGACTGTGTGAGAAACTAACCTCCTTTAGGTTAATGGAAAATGTTAGAAATTAACTAGATGTCATCTTTTCTAAATAACAATTATGTATATTTTCTGTACATGTAACTTACCTATATAAACTGAGGCCAAACCTATAAAGGTGGATCAATCACTAAGAGAAATCTGTTGACTGTTCCCTGGGTCCTCTGTTTGGCTCTGAATAACTTCTTTAATAACTTTTCCGTTAAACCTTGAATTCACTTCTCAGTGGTGTTTATTTCAGTCAACAATTTTGTGGTATCAGGGAGTTCTTGATTAAAATCTTTGCTCTCACTAGCTGTGGGTATGTGTCAGCTTCCTCACCATATACTGGGGCTAATTCTGACCTCCTAGGGCTGTTTTGAGGATTAAGAAATAATCTAGGATTGTGCCTGCTACATAATATATTCTCAGTAATTGTATTCCTCCTGTGTCAGGAGAATGGTTCCATTACCCCATTTTTAGTATATTCCACATCTGGATGTCTGAAAGGTGGTTGTCAGGTACTAAGTTTCCTAGATGGCATTCCTTTGGGGGAATCAGGATAATTAAAAATAGTGAGAAGTTGCTCTGGGTGTTTTCTCCTGTAATGTTCACCATGGTTGAGTTGTGTAGAAACTGCCATTTTCCTAACATTTCTTGATGGTAGTGGCATCGCCATTCTGAATGGCAGTAGCTTCAACTGGAGAGGAAAGGAAGCCATAGTGCTCATGCCCAAGAGGGACCTCCAGTGGTTGCTAAGTTTGGGGGTGCATGCACGAATCAGAAGGACCTGGGCTTATGAGGCAAATCTGTACTTTTGGTTATTTGATCGTCACCTCTTTACCTTATGAGAATAACAGCCCTGTATTTATCTTACAGAGTTAAGAGTATTAAATGAGTTACTATTAGTAGAGCATTGGGACTTGGTAAGTACTGTTTGTCAAATAATTAATATATAAAATTGGGGATACTATTACAGGCTTGATGTGAGGATTAAATGAGATACTATATGAAAGCAAGCACATGGTAAGACCTTAATAAGTACTACCAATTTTCACATCCGCAAACTGACTTAAGGTGAAGCTGCTAGACTGATGTTTTGTGATATGCAACGTATACTCGGTCCAGTCTCTATCTGGAACAAGTATCCAACCAGGTAAACCGGTAGAAGCCCACAAGTACATCCCTGGAGCAGAGCTTCCCAGAAACCGCATAATCCTTGCTTTAAGAGCAGACAATTCTGGGGCCTCCCTGGTGGCGCAAGGGGTTAAGCACCGCACTATGAAGCAAACCTCAGCCTCTGCAGCATGAGTTCGATCCCCGATCCCCAACCGCCAAGGCGAAACCACATGGTGAAGCAGGCCTCTCCTGTCTCGCCCTCTGCTCCCCTCGGCAGTGTATTTAAGTCTGCCTGTTCTGTTCCCCACTCTGTCTCTGGTGGATCCTCTCACCCCCTGCATCTCTGGCCTGTACCCCAGCTCTCGTTTGCATAAATAAATCTTAAAAAAAATAGTTCTCATCAAGCCTCAGTAGCTCCGTCTGGAGAATGACAGGCCCGGGCCGAGGCAGAGGTGAGTTCCCGGCCGGGGGACGGAGTGCACTGGGCAGACAGTCTCGAGGAGGCGGCAGCGCAGAACGTCTGGAGACGGGGCGAGAACACCCCGGGGAGGCACCGCCGGCGCCTTGAGGTTCCGGGTCCGCGCCCTAGCGCGCCACGTGACCCAGGCCGCGCGCCACGTGACCCGGGCCTGGCACGGCGGCCCCGCCCCACTCCCCGCACTTCGCTTCCGGTAGGGGCGGAAAGCGGAAGTGTGGGAGGTCGGCGGGGCGGGCTCGGGGAGGTCCCGGGGGTGGATGGAGCCGTGAGCGGTTCTGGGCGGCTGCTGGCAGCGCCATGGAGACTGTGCAGCTGAGAAACCCGCCGCGCCGGTGAGGGGCCCCTGGATGAGAAGAAGGGAGTTGGGGAGGGAAGGGCGGGAAGCGGCGAAGGGGAGACACCAGTGTGGGAGCCCCCCGAGAGGAACCTGCTGGGCGTGGCGACCCGGTAGCTGGGGCACCTGCTGAGTGGGGGACCTCCTGCGGGTGGGGGTCGGCTGGGGGTAAACGCGTGTTTGGCTAGGGAGAGCACTTGCTCTGGGGGGGACATCCTCAGGGGAGAGGGGGACTGCTGAAGGGAGCAGCTGCTGAGGAACGGGGACAAGTTAGGGGGAGCCTCTGTGGGGGCGGGTGTCTCTGGGGAAAGGTGCGCCTAGCAAGGACTCACTCAGGTAGGGGGGGGGGGTTTGCTGAAAAGCACGGGATGAATGGGTCGGGAACAATCAGAGAGGAGGGCTGAGTGGACTTTCAAAGAGAGGGAGTCCCACTTGAGGGGTGCAGCGGGGGAAGGATCTGTTGAGGTGTAAAAGCTTTGCACCTAAGGTTGAAGGTGTGCCATGAAAGATCTAGCAAGGGCAGGGTTAATGGAGCATAACATTTGGGAAGATGTCCATGATGTGACCCCACTCTAGGATGATGACTGCCGCCTTCATTCCTCACGTCCTGTGTCCTCCATAATTTTCGAACAGCCTCTTCAGTCCTTCAAAACCCGTCACTGGGGAGTCGATAAGGAAATAAGAGGAAATTGAGATCCAGAAGAGTTGACATACAGCCTCACCTATTTTCTTCCTTGCGCTAGGTCTGGGTCACTAGGGGGTGGGTCCAGGCCAACCTGAGTCTGGGTCAGCCTGTGCTGGTTTTAGGCCATGATTGTTTTGAGAGTATCAACGCCAGATCTTCTTGGTACCTAGAGTTGCTTTAAGTCAGAATCAGAGAGGTGGCTGATCCTAGAAAGTCTGAATTCTTGGGTTGATTGCAGTTATCTCATTGATTTGCTCTTTGGGCACCCAGGTCTTATGCCATGTTGTCCCATCTGAGATGAGGAGCCTAGCACACTCATCTTAAGTCAGTTTGCAGAGTAAAAACAAAGTAGAGTAGAGGCTGAAGGAGTTATGCTCTGAGGTGTGCGTCCTTAGCTTGTTTCCCAGACTCTTCCTGCAGCGATGAGTGCTAAAGTAGGAGGCATTCATTGTGTGGGAGTTTGGGGCACTAGAGAGGTGAAGGGAAGGGATTGGCAGCCTGGAATGCACACTTGGGGGTTATTTGAAGTGCATAAACATTGCAGAAGACAAATAGCTGGTTGGGATGGACTCATGATTCATTCACCCTATAGTAGTGAGCTGAGATGGAAAAATAATGGTTGTTACACTTTCATGGCCCTTACTGGGTGCCAGGCAGTTCTCAATGCTTTCATGTCTCTTGTTGAGCCATAGGAACTGGTGTTCGACCATGTTAGCTATAAAAATGGCAGTTTCATATGCTTCAACTTATTGACTCATTTGATCACCATCACAGTCCTTAAGAGGTGGTGCTTATCTCCACACCTATGTTTTACATGGACAAAACCAGGCACAGAGAGGTTAGTGATTTGTTGGAGGTCTCATAGTAAATGCCAGATCTGAGATTTTAATCCTAGTAGTCTGGTCCAAAGTTCATTCTCTTAACTGCCTCTCTCTGATGTCTCTCTGGAAGTACCCCTTGGCACAGGTCCTATGTTTGTTAGCAGATATTTGCTATAGCATTATAGTGATCCAATTATGCATGTACATTTCTTTCTGTATATTTCATGTATATTTCTTTCTGAAGTATGTTCATTCTTTCTTTGAGGCCTTGGTTTAATGGGAAAGAGGATTAGGAATCTACGCTTTGTTTCTACTTTTGCTTTGTTTTGTGTGATCTTGGGCAAAGAAGTAAAACCTTTTTGCTTTTTGTTTAGCATGTTCATTCCTGTACCTTTTGGATTTTAAAAATTACTAAAATGTAAGGATGAGCATTATAGGACTGAGCTCCTGAATGACTGGTGCATTCTGCTCATCATAGCTAGTGAACTGCCTAATTTGCAGCAAATTGACTTTAGTCATTTGTATTAGTTTGTTAGGACTGCTGTAACAAGGCTCTTCAGACAGGGTGACTTAAACTACAGAGATTTATTTATGCGCAGTTCTAGAGGTTAGATCAAGCTGTCCTGGGGGGGTTGTTTCTTTTGAGGCCTCTCTTCTTGGCTTGTAGATGCCTCGCTTCTCTATACCTTCACGTGTTCGTGCCTCTGTACCTAATGTGTGAATAAAAAGAAACAAGAGTTTTAAGATGGGAAAGAGAGACTTGAGAACTAGCCATATCTGTGAGTAACTACTTCATAAACACCCTTATTTGTATTTGGAAAGATGAAGTTGTCTTTTCAGAGATTCAGAGGACATGCATTTCCAACAAGGGATAGCAACCCCAACACAGGAAATGCTCTTTGTGTTCAGAAGTTGGGACATTTGTGTATGACTATGTGAATGACGATACATTGAAGTTGATGATGTACATCGGAGTTTATGATTTTAAAGTGAGCTGCCATTAGATGATGACAGTGTGATGGAAGGTGTGAGTGCTTTTCTGGGCTGCTGGGTGTCCACGGGGCCACCTGACTTAGAGCACAGCACCCACCAGTTCATGGTCCATGGAGGACCTGTGGGCCAAGCCTCTTTATGAACAAACAATGAAACTACCTGCTACGAGGAAGTCCCAGCAGAGAGCTGAATCATCAATTGGCCTGTTTTGGGTGTAGTACTTCTTTCATGAAGACTCATGGGATGCAATATCATGAAAAATCCCAGTATTTTCCATAGAAATCTTCTTTGTTGACAATCCAGTAATCCTTTATAGGGGTAAATTCTGTTTTAGTTGGAAAACTCACAGAGATTGACTATAAAGTTTTAGAGTCCCATCATTCCATCCATTAATCCTTTCAGCAAGTATTTGTTGACCACCTCTGGGTTCTCAGGTTCCAGAAAGAGCCCTTTAGTTTTGACCAAAACTAGACAGAAGCCACTTAGATTCTGAGCGGTCACATAAAGTGTGTCAAAGTACTATCGCAGTCTCGCAGCTGTCCCTCATGGCAGTGGCAGCTTCCTTTGTTAGGCTACAGTCTCTGTAGTAGTTGAAATGGTGAGTTTTGCTTTTTGTAAACCCCAAGGTCAACCCTTCCAAGGAACACATCTGATCTTCCTTTATATAAGCTGTTTATAAAACTTTAATTATACTTGAGAAATGAGGTATTGTCTATTGTTTATACAGATCTCAATTCAGTGCTTCACAAAGAAACCCTGATTTATGAGATGTTTATTCTAACTTCTGAGTTCAGAGAAATTTCACCTTTCAAATTTAGGGGTTTCACTTCATCCCTTTTTATTTTTAAGCTGGGAGTTTTTATGATGTCACTGGAATTTACTTTTTAGGACTTTCTGATTTTCAAAGGTCAGTGTTTTGGCAGTTGTTGACTTGGAGCAATTCTCTAGGCTTTGATATATATAAAATTCTGTAAGCTTGACCTTTTAAGGTCAGCATTTATTGGTAAATACATGTAATGTGGTCAGGGGTGTTTATTCTTCATCTTCTCATTTTGCTGTTTTTTCTAGGAAGGTACACATTTGAGTGTGTGTATTTTTCTTAATTCAGCTTTTTTCCTGGTAAAAATAGGTATTGTCCAGATTGTTTAAACCTTTTTTTCCTAAGAAGTCTCCAGTGTGACTTCCATATTTTACCATTTCCTGAGCTTGCTTTTCTTTGTTGTCCTTTGTAGCTTCAGGAAGTTATTATGCAGACAATACATACACACAGAAGGAGCAAAGCTCCTTCTTTAAACCTCTTCGTAATTTTCAGAGGTCCCTGAGGTTTTTTTTTTCAATTGCGAATTTATAACCTCCTGTGCTTTTTGATGTTTTTCTGGCAATTGTAAGCAGCCATATATATATACATACACACACACACACACACATACACACATGTGTATTTATGTGTGTATGTGTGTGTGTGTATCTTTGATTGGGGTGCTAGTCACAGGTATGTGACTGCTTCTTGCTGAATCTTTCTGAGACTTTTTGAAACTCCCAGCTGCCTAGTTATTTTTCAACTTTTGGTAACACTCTAAGCACATGCTTTTCACTTTCTGTTTCTATAATCCCTATATAATCATTGTATTTTGACAAATTTACTAAAACCTCACTAATGGAGAGCTGCAGTCTTCTGTCTTCCTTGACCTCCTAAGATCAAGTTTCAATTTATAGTTAGTCTTACAATAAATACCTTTTCTGAAGAGATAGGTATGGCATTTTAATCCATGGAACCTTGAGGTTTAAATGGATTTTAAAGGTTTTATCTAAAGCTGGAATCTACTCTGCAGCATCGGCCACAGGGAGACTCCTTTTCTGTTTAAATTCTTCAATAATGGGGAACTAAGGACTTCTTTCAGGTGCTTTAAGCCATCTTAGAACAGCTTTTATTGCTAGAAAATTCTTGCACCTGTTGAACTGAAATCTGACTCTTGCTAGCTCTCCATGGTGTGAAGGGTGCTCATTAGGGTGCCCCAGTAACACCTCCATAGGATCACCCTTCTCTTCCCTTAGAAATCTCTTAATTTGTGATGTTGTTGTTTATTACTGACGACTTTGTAGAGAAATTTCTAAGATGCTAATTGTAAAATAATGTTTTTTATGTTGCTGGCAAGTAAATTGTATTTTGTGTTTACATTTATTTATGCACAGGCAGCTGAAAAAGTTGGATGAAGATAGTTTAACTAAACAACCAGAAGAAGTGTTTGATGTCTTAGAGAAACTTGGAGAAGGGTAAGTGTACAGAAAATATAGGTAGGCCTGTGGGGTCAGTTTTTTTCTCCCCTAGCACGAGAAGAATATGAACTTTTATCCTGCCGATAATTCACAAACCTAAAGTGGAGAAAGGGTAATATTGCATTTCAGCACTGCTGTCAGTGGAAGTGAAAGGTAAACTTATAGCTTAAGATGCCCTTTTTCTCTTCTGCCTAATCGTCATTATATGCAGATTTAGTGAGTCTGGCTCTTTCTTTTTTTTTTTTTTTTTAACCATTAAGAATGTCTGTTGCCTATGAACCAGAGACACTCTATGGGGGATGGGGGGCAGGAAAGGAGGGATTGGGGTCAAAATAAGGGGGTTGTAATTGTATGGGGAATATAAAAATAAAATTTAAATAAAAAAAGAAAAAGAATGTCTATTGCTTTTTCTCTAGGAAAAGCCATGAGTTGCATGATTTTGTCTATTTGACAGGACTAATTAGTTTATACTTTATTTAAAAAGTTTTTGTTAATTGGTTATATTTGGATTTGCTATTCATAACTTCTGTTCAACATGCAATAATTTTTTTTTCAATAGAAGGCAATGCAATTCAGCATTTTAGTTCCTGCAACTTTATGAAATACAGTAAATAAATCAAGGACTTGTCACTAATAATCAAGTAATAATCTGGAGGGGAAAGCTTCCAGAATAGTTAATTGTCTTGATAATGGTTTAGCACTTGTGTAATTAATTTTCATGGTCTTGAGATGTCTGCATTAGTTTCAGGCATCATGCCTTATGTGGCAGTAACCAAAGCAGGAAGGGCAGTGGCAGGTAAAAATGGGCTTTCTATTGTGCTTCTCCCTTATCTGGGAGGAAAGTCTTTCCCAGAAACCCTTTAGCAGAATTTCCCTCAAGTTTCACTGTCCAGAACTGGGTCATACACTTACTACTAGTTCACTCACAAAGGGGAATATGAAAACTCTGACTGACATGGTGCAGCAGACCTCTCCTGACTCGCCTGCTGCTCCCCTCAGCAGTGTACTTTGGTCAATCTGCCTGTTCTGTTCCCCACTCTGTCTCTGGTGAATCCTCTCACTCCCTACACCTCTGGCCTGCACTCCAGCTTTTGTATGCATAAATAAATAAATCTTTAAAAAAAAAAAACAGCTTAAAAAAAACCTGTGACTGATTTGGCCCTCTGGCCTTTGTCCCCTGGGACAGGTATTTGCAACATTAATAAATCAAGGAAGAAGGGGAAGTGCTTGGGTTTTCTATACATCGTCAGTGGTCTTCGTTCTCTGGCAAAAAAAGTTCATATGACATTTAAGAATTACTACACTAGTTTTGCAGCTGTAAGAGATTCTCATTGAACAACAATTTTTTTAATGTGTTATGCATAGATAAATATGTGTATTTATAGAATGTTTTATGTTACTTTCACATTTAAACAGTGTTTGAGCTTGAACACTCAGCTGCTTTGATATATTAAGGGGCATTGCCATGCTGATTTTTTTTCACCAAGACAGTATGAAGAAACAGGTGTGTTTGGGAAATATGAAAGACAACCTTCATATTATCTCACTAACAGCCTTGCAGGTTTCCAGTAGAATATAATCTATGTAAGATGATAATGGTATTTCATTTGACCATCACAACTGTCCTGTAAAGAAATTCGTATTGTTATTTTACACATGAGAACATTGAGACATAGCAAGGTTAACAATATCTCCCTAAATGATAGATGGTGGTAGGACTCATTCTAGGTCTCTGGATTCTAAATCTAGTGTTCTTGTCTACTAAAATTGAAGGGAGGGCCTCCCCTGGTGGTGCAGTGGTTGAGCGCTGGGTTGCGAGGCTGCCCGCAGGCTCTGCAGCGTCAGCCCGATCCCTGGCCACCGGCAAGGGTCCCACAAAAAATAAATATATAAAATAAAATTGAAGGGAAACAAGCGTTTCATTTATTTTGATAATAAACTTTTAAGGGAAGATGAAGTAAAATACAAAGAATTTGTGATTGTTCTATTCACTGACACAAGTATTTAAGGATTCTTAGATTTTTTAATTAATTTCCATATTTTTAGTATTACTGTAAGAGGAGCAAGGGCTGAGACACCTCAGGGTACTAGAGCAAATGCAGGAAAACAAAGACCTTTCTTCTCTATTAAACTCCAGTACAGATGTGGAGAGAGCAAAGCTTCGTATTAAGACACATCTGGATTTAAATCCAGGATTTGATTAATCCACTTATGTGACCTTGGGCAAGTCATGGAATCTCTCTGAGTCTTTTCACATTTACCTGTAACATTGGGCTAATCACATCTTCTTTTTTGGTAAAGATGAACTGAGATGCTACAGTTTCTAGCAGACATCAGGCACGCAATGCATGGTGGCTATTATAATTATTCTTTTTTTTAATATTATTTTATTTTATTTTTTAAGGTTTATTTATTTATTTATATAAGCAGTGGGTACAGTCAGAAGCACGGGAGGGTGAGAGAATTCACCAGAGCCAGAGCAGAGAGCAGAACAGGCAGACTGATGAAATACACTGTTGAGGGGAGCAGCGGGTGGCAGGAGAGGTCTGCGCGCCATGTGGGACCCTCACCTGGTGGCCGGGGATCGAACCGGCGCTGCAGAGGCCGCGGGCAGATTCGCAACCCAGCGCTCAACCACTGTGCCACCGGGGAGGCCCTATTATAATTATTCTTATTTCATATTAGCACATTCAGTCAAGTTGTAATGTGAAATCTTTAACATGCCATTTTATGGTAGTTCTCTTAGTGACAGTTTTTCCCCCAAAGTATTTTAGCTATCTCACTTTTGCAAGCGTAGCGAAGTGTATATGTATCATAGAAATTAGAACTTTTTTTTACCACTGTTTAATCTCTTGACTTGCACCGACTTTATAAATGTTCTCCTTTCCCCAATTATAGGTCCTATGGCAGTGTATATAAAGCTATTCATAAAGAGACCGGTCAGATTGTTGCTATTAAGCAAGTTCCTGTGGAATCAGACCTGCAGGAAATAATCAAAGAAATCTCCATAATGCAGCAATGTGACAGGTAAAGACGTGGTATTTCTCTCTCTCTTTTTTTACATTCCTTCTTTATTGATTGAATTTTTTTTTTTTTTTTTGTGGGACCCTCGCCAGTGGCTGCAGATCAAACTGGCGCTGCAGAGGCTGCGGGCAGCCTCGCAACCCAGCGCTCAACCGCTGTGCCACCAGGGGAGGCCCGATTGAATTATTTTTTTTTTTACAATTTTTTAATTTATCTCTTTTATATCATTGTGTATTCCCCATAAAATTCCCACCACCAGTTCATCCATGAATCATCACCATAGCCTTTGTGTTTTTCCCTCCCCTGTTTTGAGCCCTTTTCGTCCCCCTCCCTCCCAGACTGTCTCTTATTTATGGTTCCTGTGGTATTTCTTTGATGAGAACATGGTTTTGGATTTACTGTGATTATGGAGTTTTAGCACTTAGAGATGCATTTACTAAGGTAGTTTGCAGAAGGGAGAGTTTGGTGGTATCCCTCTGCATCTTCCAGAAAAAAATATGATGAAAAAGTTTGTGTTTCAGCTTATAGTTTCTGTTTCTGCACTGTTGGGTTTTTTTTTTTTTTCCTTCAGTAAGCCCTTTTCAAAACTAGGAAGAGGCTAAGAGGCAGAAGGTGGTGCTGTTTTTTTCTTCTTTGATAATTATCTCTTTTACTTCCTACTGAGAAACATTTTGGCAAAGATAGCTGAGAAGAGATGATTCAAATGCTATTAGTTTTGGGAACCTTATAGTATCAGGTAAAATGGTAAAAAAAGAATATTTACCTATTACTGTCCATCCTTTACATAAAAAAAAAATTTAAGCTACGAGTAGTTAAGTATTTTATTTTTGAGGAACTAAGATTTGTCAAACCCTGTCAAGCAGGAAGTTAGGCCAACAGGCAACCGCAGAAAAGCACGTGGTTTGCTCTGAAATTTCATGACAACCGGGTTGGTCATTGTAATGGAGCAGGTTTCCCCACGACTTTTAGAATTGAGAGAAATACAAACTTAGGGGCAATGCCAGCTCTTGGGAACTGAAAGGGGCTTGAGAAAGTCTTGCACTCGGCTGCATCCGTCTGTCTGAAGCCTACCTGCTCAGCATCTTAATTTAGTGCTACCTGTTTGTAAAACCTCGGTGTTGGGACAAGGGAGGCTCCCTACTAGGACATCTACCCAGGAGCCCTCACACTTCACATACTTGTGAATGCAGCCTTTCTAGTCTCTCATGCACCCTTTTATTCTTTCTTTTATTCTTTACTCCCTTGCGGTTCCTCTCTTCTAGATAAAAGTGTTTCTTGATTGGGTTTCTTGATTGAATTGTCCAGAGTAAGTAAAGTAGCAGTGTTCCTCTTTCTTCTCTCTCAGATACATTATGGGAGCCATTGGGACCTTGACACTTTTGATAGACGGTGCAAGAGCTGTCTTCCAAACACGGCATAGAATGTCTGTGATAATAAGAGATCTCATGAGAAGCGTACTCTGTGCTAAGCACTGTAAGGAGCACAGAGAAGTATAGGGTAGGGTTCTTACTCTCTGGGAGTTTATAGATTGTTTGGACCGGTCAGGCTTATATATTTACAGGAGAATCTAGTTGACAATACGATTATATAGAACACATGCCAATGTGAGTGCCTGACTTTTACATTCTATCATACTTGTCTTATAGAGGGAGTACAGGAAATGCTATAGGAATTCAGGGAACAGCAAATGTGGTGGTGATTGTACCTGAAGAGAGTTATTTATCTATTTCTTCATTAATAATTATTGTGTATCTCTGTGTTTTCTTTATTCCTGCTGTCCTTGTCATTGAGTGAAGGGACATTTGAAATTCTGACAGTAAATGAAGCCCAGTTGGTTTTAGCATTTTTAGTTATTATTCAATATTATTTAGCCCTGATAACAATTAGTCCTGATAACAGTCTGTCATGTTAAAGCTGGTGGCTCTCAGATCATTTCATTTTAATGGGATGTTTGACTTTTCTTTGAAATTTCTTGTTTGGTAGCTCTCTTTAAGCTTGAGACCTCAAGCTCCCTGTCCCTAAGTATCTTTTCTTTATAATAACTTGTAGTATAATTCTTTTCCTTATTGCAAAATATATGTGACTTCATGGAAAAAAGCAAATAAAGTATTATCATGGACTCATGGTTATTCCATTATATGAACATCTCTTTATTTCTTAAAGTTTCTAATGTTGAACAGTTAAGTGGTATCTGAATTTTCCCTTTTATAAATTATCTATAATTTTTTTAGGTGAATTGTAAACTTGGAAAGGCTAGGGTTAAAGGACCCACACATTTTTTGTACTTTTATTTATTGGCCTCCAGAAAAGCTTTATTATTTTACTTCCTTACCAGGACAGTGTCTGTTTTATCTTAAATATGAATAATTGATTTTTTGAGCTAACAGATTAATTTTCATGTATTTAACAGCATGCATTAAGAAAGATTTTGAAGACTGTTCCACTAATTTGTGTTCACTCTCATTCTAGTCCTCACGTCGTCAAATATTATGGCAGTTATTTTAAGAACACAGACTTGTGGATTGTGATGGAATACTGTGGGGCTGGTTCTGTGTCTGATATCATTCGATTACGGAACAAAACTGTAAGTTTGCCTTCTAAAATGGTGGCTGAGCGTGTCTTCTTTTCTCTGGCCTTTTATTCCTGTGCACTTTTGTACTTCCTCACCTCCAGAGATGACTCAAAGTTCCTCCTTTCCATGGTCTTCTGTTTTCCTTATTTCCTAAATGTCACAGTTTTGACACCAAATCTATGTAGTGATATTTAGCATTCTTGGTTTATTTTTCACTGGGGAAAAATGAGTACCAAATATAGTTAGACAATGAATTTTATTTTTTCTGAGTTTTTTTTTTTAATTTATAAATTGGATCATTCTTGCTCTGTATTTTTTTTCTTTTAAAATTGTGGTGAAATGGGCCTCCCCTGGTGGCGCAGCGGTTGAGCGCTGGGCTGCGAGGCTGCCCGCAGCCTCTGCAGCGCTGGTTCGCTCCCCGGCTGTTCCCCAGCTGCTCCCCGGCCACTGGAGGAGGGTCCCACATGGCGCGCAGACCTCTCCTGCCGCCCGCTGCTCCCCTCAGCAGTGTGCTTCGGTCCTTCTGCCTGCTCTGCTCCCCGCTTTGGCTCTGGTGAGTTCTGTCACCCTCCCGCGCTTCTGACTGTACCCAGTGCTTGTATAAATAAATAAAATAAAATAATAAAAATTTAAAAAAAAAATAAAATTGTGGTGAAATACACATGAAATACACCATCTTCTTGATTTTCTTTTTTTTTTTTTAAAGATTTATTTATTTATTTATACAAGCACTGGGTACAGTCAGAAGCACGGGAGGGTGAGAGAATTCACCAGAGCCAGAGCTGGTAATAGAACAGGCAGACTGACAAATACACTGCTGAGGGGAGTAGCGGGCGCGGCAGGAGAGGTCTGTTGCGCCATGTGGTTTGAACCAGCACTGCAGAGGCTGTGGGCAGCTTCACAGCCCAGCGCTCAACTGCTGTGCCACCAGGGGAGGCCAACCATCTTCTTGATTTTCAAGTATACTGGTCAGTAGCACTAAATACATCCCCATTGTCAACAACTTTACCACCATCCATCTCCAGAACTTTTTCATCATCCCAAACTGGAACTCTATACTCGTTAAAAGACTAACTTGGGGCTTCCCTGGTGGTGCAAGGGCTTAAGTCTCAGCACTATGAAGCTATCAGCAACCACTTCAGCATGAGTTGGATCCCCAGCTATGGAGCTGACCAACATGGTGCAACAGACCTCTCCTGCCTTGCCTGCTGCTCCCTCAGCAGTGTATTTCAGTAGATCTGCCTGTTCTGCTCCCCACTCTGTCTCTGGTGAATCATCTCACCCCCTGCACCTTTGGCCTACACCCCAGCTCTTGTATGCATAAGTAAAATAAGTCTTTAAAAAAATAAATAAAATCCTAACTCCTATTTTCCCGTCCCTCTAGTCTCTGGCAACACCATTCCACCCTCTTTCTCTGCGTCCATGTACACTGTAGATGTTTTCAGGATACAAGTTCACCACTCTTCAAATGTATGTTATCATACCATGCCCACCCCCAAAACGTCCTCACCTCTTTCAGCTCCCCCTCTGGAGCCTCACTTTCAAGAGTGGTTTTGGTTTTGTTCCTTAAACAATGAATTTTAAACATTTAAATTTAGGTTTGGTTTTCTCCTACTCATGGTGTTCGTAGGGTAGCTTCCCTGATGGCCTATTAGAAATAATCTCTGTGAAAGATGATTTTCTCTTCTGTGATGGCTAGGATAAAATCTAGCAATCATGAGTTCTAGTTCAGATTCTTTTTTTAAAAAAAGATTTATTTTTATTTATGCATACAAGAACTGGGATGTAGGCCAGAGGTGGGAGGTGTGTGTGACAAGATTCACCAGAGACAGAGTGGGGAGCACAACAGGCAGATGGACTGAAATACACTGCTGAGGGGAGCAGCGGGCGAGTCAGGAGAGGTCTGCTGCGCCATGTGGGTAGCTCCCTGGCCAGCCAGGGATTGAACTCGTGCTGCAGTGGCTACAGATAGCTTCACAGGTAGTATCTTAACCCCTTGTGCCACCAGGGAGGCCCTAGTTCAGATTCATTTGTTTGAACTCTTCATTTAGTAAATGTATCTAGAATAATGTGTACTGAAAATATAACATCGTTTTCTAGACAAGAGATCTAGTAGTGGATAAGGTAATGATCCTGCTGTCATGGTAGTGCATTTTCTGGTAGAGAAACAAAAAAGGAAATCAGTGGTAACTAGAAAAGAAATATCAGATAGTGATAATTGTTTTCAAGGTAAATTGTTTTGAAGGTAAAATGAGGGTAAACTGATAGCAATAGGTGGGGATACTTCAGAATGACTGGTTGAGAAATATCACTTGGGGAAGTAAACCTTGGAAGACAAGGGCTCTCACATTTTTTTTTTTTTTAGGGTAAAGCCCTCATTTTATTGAGGGGCTTCAAGTGAGGGAAGAAGGGATGGGGGACTAGATCCAATGTCCTTGGATGGGTGGGCCTCTCCCCAGCTTCCCAGTCATAGAAAGGGAGCTCAGACTTCTAAAAGAACATTCTGGTTAGAGGAATAACCAGTGCAAAGACCCTGAGGCTGGAATGAGTTTGGCATCTTCCAATGCTGGAAAGAGGCCACTGTGACTGGAGGGGAGAAGGGAGGTGTAGGAGATGAGTTTAGAAAGGTGAGCGGGCTAGATTATGTTGGTATTGCAGGCCACGGTAATGAGTTTGACTCTTCGTCCAGGTACAGGAGAACTATTGCTGGGTTCTAAGCCAAGACAGTGAATCTTCTGGTTTACATTTTAATGTAAATATACATTTAAATTAGCCTTTAGCAATTGTTTTAATAAGGAAAATAGGAATAGTAATACCTATGTTAAGTATTTGCAAAGCTGTAAGTAACAATTTGAATATATGAAAGTACATTGTGAATCATGAAGTGATATACAAACTCTAAGGTGGGGTGTTCTAAAAGTCAGTTACAACTTTTTTATCATCTGTATTACTTACTGTGTTCTTTTCTTAATTTACATTATTCAGAGTTACTATGTTTGCCTAGTCAAATAGCAAGTTCTTTAGGATTAATATCATAGCATAAGATATATTTATAAGTCCCAAAGCTTGAATAATTTATTAAATTAAAAATTGGTTTACAGATCTTTTTACATGCAGCATTAAGGTATTTTTTTCAGGTCTTTTGAAACCAAACAAAAATAATTTTTTTAAAAAAGATTTATTTATTTATACAAGAACCAGGGTACAGGCCAGATGCGCAGGATGGTGAGAGGATTCACCAGAGACAGAGTAGGGAATAGAACAGGCAGACTGACTGAAATACACTGCTGAGGGGAGCAGTGGGCGAGACAGGAGAGGTCTGCCCTGCCATGTGGGTTGCTCTGAGACCGTTGGGGATCAAACCAGCATTGCAGAGGCTGCGGACAGCTTCACAGTGCAGCGCTCAACTGCCTGTGCCACCAGGGAGGCCCCAAACAAAAATAATTTTGATGGTGCTTTTGATGTTTTTTTGCTATTTTAATATTAGTTGATTATGTAATTTTTGATACTAAGTACTGATTTCTAATCATTACACATTAATTTGACAAATATTTTAACTCTGTGACACCCTTTGGGATAGTCGTCAGCCATATGTGGTTATTAAAAATATAATATGTGCCTATTCTTTATTGAGAAACGCTATAAATGAGTCAAGTACATACTAGATTTTGAATATTTATTACAAAAAAAGTGAAAATTTACGCTAATCAATGTTGGAATGATAATATTTTAGATAAATATTATGCGTAAGTAAAATAGACTTTCAAAATTAATTTTTCTTTTTTTAAACGTGGCTGCTGGAAAATTAAAAGTTGTATTTGTGGTTTACATTCCATTGCTATTGGGCAGTGCTACCCTGAGAGATTAGTTCAGCTGGTGAAAATAAGGAGTCAGTGAGCCAGCCATGAGCTTTGTGCTCTTCAGCCACAAAAAGACACCCTAAACTCTAGCTTGCTGCTTTGTAAATGGTATTGGTTGAATTCTATAATTTATTTGTTGTGTGATTTTTTTTTGCACAAATTACTTCACTTGTCTAGCTTCAGCTTTATTACCTATTAAATGCGGGTGACTATTACTGTACCTGCTTCATCTGATTGTTTTAAGAATTAAGCAAGAGGGCCTCCCCGGTGGCGCAGCGGTTGAGCGCTGGGTTGCGAAGCTGCCCGCGGCCTCTGTAGCGCCGGCTGGATCCCCGGCTGCTCCCCGGCCACCGGAGGAGGGTCCCACATGGCGCACAGACCTCTCCTGCCACCCGCTGCTCCCCTCAGCAGTGTACTTTGGTCCTTCTGCCTGCTCTGCTCCCCGCTCTGGCTCTGGTGAATTCTCTCACCCTCCTGCGCTTCTGACTGTACCCAGTGCTTGTATGCATGTATATATCAATCAATCAATAAATAAATCTTAAAAAAAAAAAAAAAGAATTAAGCAAGATAATAAAATAGTGCCTAAAGTAGATTAAATAATTAGTAACATTAGCTATTTTAATATTGGTAGCATAGTACCTGGTTTGTAATTATTCCTTATTAAGTATTTGTTGATTGACTGATAGTGTAGTAGGTGTTGGACATGTGTATTCTTTTTTTTTTTTTAAAGATTTATTTTATTTATTTATGCATACAAGAGCTGGGGTGCAGGCCAGAGGTGCAGGATGTGTTTGAGTGTACTGAAGTACACTGCTGAGGGGAGCAGTGGATGAGACAGGCGAGGTCTGCTTTGCCGTGTGGGTTGCTCCCTGGCTGTGGATTGAATTCATGCTGCAGTGGCTGCTGATAGCTTCATAGGTTGCATCTTAACCCCTTGCTCCACCAGCGAGGCCCTGGACATGCGTATTCTTTCATGTCTGATATCATTTGATTTTCATGAGTCTTGAAGAAAGGCGATAGTTCTGTTTTATAGATTGAGAAACTGAGACTAAGAGGAATTTGATAAGTTGCTTAAGTCACGTAGGTAGAATGTAGAGCCAAGAGTAAAAGGAAGGTCTTTCTAATCCCAAAACAATTTTTTTTTTGAGAAATAGTTTTTTTTTGTTCCTCCTCTTCTTCCTCATCATGTTCATTTTCCTCTTCCACCTTTTCCCTGGCAGTTTTAGTGGCACCCTTTGCACCATTCAACTTTCCTTTCCACTGAGCGTCAGCGACATCCTTCTTGTACTCCAGCTTTGCGCCTTGCTGCCGGGGCTGCTTTTCGTTGTCGTGTCATTTATTCCACACCTTCCCAGCTTCTCTGCCACGACTCGGAGAAAGAGCTGCCAGGGTTCATGGATTTCACCTTGGGGTAGAATTCTGAACAGAGCAGGAAGAATCCAGGCCGTGGCTATTTAGGGGCACTAGGGTCCTTCTTGCCTCCTTTAGCTGGTCTGTAGTTCTTCATTGCCTGTTTTTCTGCTTTTGCCATCTTACCGCATTTAGACTCCTCTTTCCCAATGTGTCCTCCGCCTCTCCAAGCGCTTCTTGGGAAAATCTGCAAGATCGACAGGGACCTCCGGGTTTTTCTATATTCCTCTTTGTATGTCCGCACAGAGAAGGTGTGAGCAGACATTTTGCCCTTTGGTCCCCTTTAGGCATCCTGATTGTTTGCTAGTCCAGAGCCCGTGCTTTTTGCTGTGTAGCATACTGCCTTCTAAAGGTCATGGGTTTTCAAAAGGGGAACAGGTTGAGAGTTTGTGGATTGAGTTTGTTTAGGACTGGGGTTGAATCCTCACACAGTTAGTGTTGGACGAATCAGGAGTTTTATGTCAGTCTCCAGCTTTCTTGTGCTCATTTGTTTATCACGCAACAGATATTTTTCCGCACCAGCTGTGTGCCAGGTGGCTTTCTTGGTACAAGGGATACAATAGAAAACAAATCAAGGAGATTTTTAAATGGAGCTTGTATTTCTGAAAGGGAAGATACACATCAGTAGATACACAAATAACGTATAATATGTCCGATGGTGTTAATGCTGGCTGCAGTGTCCAGTCAGGGAGGGTAAAGGGACAGAGACGATCTTTTTGAGTTTCTGATAAGGTGATATATAGGCCGAGACACTGAAGTAAGGGAGCAAGTTGTCCAGAAGTCTGAATGAAAGCTATTGTAGACAGACTAGGTGACTTTTCAAAGACCCAGAGTGGGAGTGTGCTTCCTGTGTTTGAGCAACAGCAAAGAAGCTCATAGATTGAGCAAGGTAGAAAGTGGTAGAAGATGAAGGTAGCTGGAGGCTAGATCATGTGAGGCCGTGGTGAGGACTGGCTTTCATTTTGAGTGACTCAGGAAGCTGTTGGAGGGTTTTGAGTACTTCCGGCTTACATTTTAAAAGAGTTGTTATGGCTGTGTGTGGAAAATACGCAGAAGCAGTGCGACCAGCCAGGAGATTATTAGAATAGTTCAGGCAGGACTTGGTGGTGGCAGATCAGGGAGATTTCAGAGGATGTAGTTGGATGTAATTTGAAGACAGAGAAGAACCAAGGATGACCGCAGGTTTTTGACCAAAGCAACTGGAAGAATGAAGCTGTCTTTTACTGGGAGAGAGCAGACTATGGGAAGAATAAAGAAGGTTGGCTGAGTGGGTGGGTAAGGAGAAGGGTAGGCTGGTTGTAGGAATAAACAATTTGATTTTGACATGTCGTGCTTATTAGGTGTTCATTTGCAGATGCTGTATGGGCACATATATGCATCTGATGTTTGGGGAGCGACCTCAGCTGGAACTATAACTTGGGGAGTAGTCAGCACCGATGCTGCAGGGGGCCTTGTTGCCCCAGCCAGATAGGATACTGACAAGCAGCAAAGAGAAAGGGCCTCACACCGTGGGGCTGAAGATCTGGCATCCTTTGCTTTTTTTCTTGGTCATAGAGAGAGAAAAATTTATTAGAGAGTATATTGGGCAGTGGATTATGCGTGCCAGCAGACTGTAGGTGGCTGGCGCGAAAAATTACCTGTTTAGAAATTAGTTATTAAACAATTTGGCCCACTTGACAATGGGAGACAATTTATTGTACATATCTGACAAGCAAACCAGCACAACTATTATAGTAAGTCCTTTTGCTGTTTTAGAAGTTCCTTTTTATTTAGAAGTTTCTTAGGAAAGTTTTTAAATGAAGTTAACTGTGTTAAGAAGTTTCTAGGTAGAAAAGGTTCTGAAAGCTGAAAAGCAGCTGGTCTCCGGCTGAAGGCCATATGAATAGAATAGTCTTTTGATGCTTAGACTTTAGCTGATAGGGATGTACTGGTGGCTATCCACTGTCTCAGGTATTTATCTAGCTGAAATAATAAGTTTTAGTGTAAGGTTTGGTTTTTTATCTATTAACTTTGAAGGCTGCCGTCTAGCTGAAACCTGTAGGAGCCAGTAGTCCATGGGAATAAAATACTCGGATTGTCTCTGCTTTACACATGATAAATGCATTTTTTTTTCTGATTACTAAAAATGAATAAATAAAGACCTGCCGAGTCTCTCGGCAGAATAGACTTGCACCTCATCCAGTGTCAGTGTCTCCTCACTACCTCATCCCCTTCCCCTCGGTCCTTTACGCCACACCTAGGCCGTCTTTTCTTTTCAAGGACTTCTGACCCGACATTTTGCCGAAAGCTGGTCTGCGGCCCATCACCAATGCAATTTTCATGTTGAATAAGATCATATGTTCTAGGAAAGGGTTTGGGCCTAATATTCGCCCCCCCCCATCTTTCTTGTGCTGATATAAACTGATAGAATTTTACTTTTTTTTTCAGTTAACAGAAGATGAAATAGCTACGATATTACAGTCAACACTTAAGGGACTAGAATATCTTCATTTTATGAGAAAAATACACCGAGATATCAAGGCTGGGAATATTTTGCTAAATACAGAAGGGCATGCAAAACTTGCAGATTTTGGAGTAGCAGGTCAACTTACAGTAAGTAAAAGTATTACTTGTATTGGTAATTTTCAGCTCTGCCTTGAGAAGGAATTCCTTTTATTTATTTAATTTCAAACTCTACTTTATTTAATTGTCTTAGTAAAACATTACAAAACAAACCAATAGGTTACAAAAGAGCTGGTAAGTTATTTTACCTCCTTTTCTAGAATTTGGTCACATGGCTTAACTTTGATAAAAGTAAAAGCTAAAACAAGAAATGATAAATTTTTACATCCTGTTGATCTGCATCATATTTTTAAAAGGAAGATAAATGAAATCTAAATTGTTTTCCTTGAGTAAAACACAGCGTTTCCTCATTCAGCCTCTAGGTAGAGTTGACGGTTACATCACTGAAAACACTCTTTGTTTGGCCCTAATGTAGTCTCCAGTCTCGTGATTCCCTTCCTACCTCACTAGTGCAAGACAATGAAAACTTTTTTTTTTTTTTTTCAAAATAGGAAGTCTAGAATTGCTAATGTGATAAAATGCATAAGTACATAGGAAATGGATATAGATAAACAGAAACAGTTCTGGACAGATTTATTGCTAAAATTTACAGCAACATTGTATATCAATTTTGTCAAGGTAATAGTATATCCATCTGTCTATCTATATACATGGTAATTGAGTATATATATATATATATATATATATATAAATAAATAAAATTCATTTGAACTGGTGTTACAGTTTTTTTTAAAAATCTGCCTTGATGTTCAAAAGAATCAGAAATTAATTCAACATTGTGATTAATTCAGTAATTCAATGCGATTCAATATTTGTCCACATTTATCATCCTTCAAAAGATTTTGTTGCTGTTAATGCACAGTTAAACAGTGCCAAGCTAAATTATGTTCTTAATAAGGAAATCAGATTGAAAACTAAATCCTTCTGGTACTGTATAAAAAAATAAAATATTAAAATTGATAATATTAGTGCTTATTAATATAATAAACTGGATGATTACTCAATAATTATTTATATATTACTGCTGTCATGCTGCCTTCATAGAATTTTTACCCCCCTTTAAAATTATAATCCAGTATTTCAGTATATTCACAAAAGCCACTCTAGTGGATTTTATCTGTGGTTTTGCTTCTGGAGGTTTCATTTTCTGCAGTTTTGATTACCCACTGTCAGCTGAGGTCCGAAAATATGAGTATAAGATAATTTTGAAAGAGACAGACCATATTCATATAACTTTAATATTATTAGAGAATATTGTTATAATTATTCTAATAGTAGTTATTGTTACTCTCTTAATGTTCCTAATTTACAATTAAACTTTATCATAGGTGTGTATGTATAGGCAAAAACATAATATAGATAGGATTTGGTACTATCTGTGGTTTCAGGCATCCACTGGAATGTCTATCCTGAGGAATGGGGGCGAGGAACTACCATATAAAATTCCAGGATGTTTTCATCATCCCCAAAATAAACTCTGTACCTCTTTCCCCCTTTTCTTTCCCTCCCTCCCTGGCCATCACTAATCTACTTTCTGTCTCTATAGATTTGCCCATTCTGAACATTCCATGTAAATTAAATCATAGAATATGTAACTTTGTTTCTGGCTTCTTTAATGTTTTATTTCGACGTTCATGTTGAGGCATGTGTTAGTACTTCATTCCTTTTTATGCCTGAATAGTATTCCATTGTATGAATACAGTCACCTGTTGCTACATGAGGGAGTTGTGATTTGGTTGTTGTAAAATGGCATGGAGTGTAATTACATAAGCCAGATAACATAGTCTGCTGTGTACCTGGGCTCTATAGATGATACAGCCTGTTAGAGTCACCTATCATATATGTGTATGGTCATCATTGATTGAAAAATTAAGTGACACATGACTATAATGTTTTGTTTATCTGTTCATTAGTTGAAAATTTAGTTTGTTTCTACTTTTTAGCTATTATGAATAGTGTTGCTTTAAAATTCATATATAAGTTTTATGTGAACATAGATTTGCATATTGTTACACAGATTTTTCTGGATTATATGGTAACCCTATGTTCAACATTTTAAGAAAGTTTTCCAAAACAACTGAGTTTTTACATTCTCATTGCTGGTATCTGAGAGTTTTGGTTTTTCCACATTCTTGCCAATACTTATTTTCTTTCTCAGAAGTGGAATTGCTGGATCATATGGTGTTCTACTTTTAATTTTTTGAGAAACTCCCATGCTGTTTTCCATAGTGGCTGCACCAGTTTACATTTCCACTGGTTGTACACAAAGGTTCTCTTTCCTTCCAGCACTTATTTCCTATCTTCTTGATAACAGCCATTCTAACAGGTGTGAGGTGATAGCTCACTGGTTTTGATTTGCATTTCCTTGATGGTTAGTGATGTTGAGCATCTCTTCATGTATGTATGTCTTCTTTAAAAAAGATCTGTTGAGGCCCTTTGTCCATTTTTCAACTGAATAGTTTTTTTTTTTTGCTACTTTTCGTTATATGATTTCCTTATATATTTTGAGTCCTAGTCCCTTATCAGATATATGGTTTGCAAATATTTTCTCTTTCTGTAGGTTGTCTTTTTATTTTGTTGATTGTTTCTTTTGCTTTCAGAACTTTGCAGTTTGATATAGTTCCACTTTAACAACATCAAAAAACACTAATATACTTAGACATAAATTTAATCAAGGGGCAAAAGATTTGAAATGATAAGAAATTGTTGAAAGGACTTGAAGTAGACACATAAATCATGGAACAGAATTGAGAGTCTAGAAATAATAAACCCATGCTTGTATGACCAACTAATATTTGACAAAGGAGCCAAGAGTGCTCACTGAGAAAATCTTGGGAAATTAGATATTTCTATGCAGAAGAATGCTTATGCCACTTACAAAATTTAATTCAGTTTAGACTTAAATGTAAGAAGCTCTGAAACTCAATAGAGGAATCATAAGGGAAAAGCTCCTTGACATGGATCATGGCTATTGGAAAATAGTGCTATCTTAGTGATACTAAATCTTCTAATACGTAAGTATAAGATGTCTTTCCACTTATTTAGAGCTTCTTTAATCTCTTTCAGCAATGTTTTATGATTTTTCAGTGTCCAGATCTGCTATTTATTTGGCTAAATTTATTTATTTTTTTAAAGATTTATTTATATATGCATACAAGAGCTGGGGTACAGGCCAGAGGTGTGGGGGTGTGAGAGGATTCACCAGAGACAGAGCAGTGAACAGAACAGGCAGATCGACCAAAGTACACTGCTGAGGGGAGCAGCAGCAAGTCAGGAGAGGTCTGCTGCACCATGTGGGTTGCTCCCTGGCCGGCCGGGGATCGAACTCGTGCTGTAGAGGCTGTGGATTGCTTCATAGCGCGGTGCTTAGCCACCAAGGAGGCCCCTGTTTGGCTAAATTTATTCCTAACTAAAATTCTTTTTCTTTTCTTTTTTTTTTTTTTTAAATATTTATTTCTTTATGCATACAAGAGCAGGGGTACAGGCCAGAGGTGTCGGGGGTGAGAGGAGACAGAGTGGGGAACAGAACAGGCAGACTGAAATACACTGCTGAGGGGATCAGTAGGCAAGACAGGAGAGGTCTGCTGCGCCATGTGGATTGCTCCGTGGCCAGGCTGGTATCGAACTTGTGCTGCAGAGGCTGCGGATAGCTTCATAATTTACTGAGTGCTTTGTTTTGTTTTAAATGAATGTGATTTTTTTGGGTAAAGGAAAACATGAGATAATTTCTTTGCTTTGCTAGAAGTCAGGCTGTAGGAAAGGATTAGCTGGCTGGGCTGGTTTTTGGGTCACTCCTCCAGTGCTACTTAGTTTGAGTTCCTCATTCTACTAAACTGAGATGTCCCCTCTGCTTGGTCTCTTGCCTAGAGGCCTTGAGCCTTGTTGGCAGCCTCCAGGGAGAAGAGGTCCTTGAGTGCGTTGTTTCAGCGTTTCTGTACGTGCTTGCTTAATGCTCCTGATTCACAAGCCCACCTAGACTTTGCTATCAAGAGATCGTTGGCTTCATTTTTCGGAGAATCCTCCAGTCTTATGCTTGGACAGGACAAGGGAAACCCATAAATGGCTTGAGTCAGAGGAGGTCTGGGACTCTGTTGCTTCTTAAAGGGTTTTCAACCCATTCTTCTGTTTTGTGCCATTTTCACCCCTCTTCTAAGTACCTTTGGCATTAGTTTCACCCTTTTTGGAAGGGTTGATGTTAAGATTAGATTTGTTTCTTGGTTCCCCCAGCAGCTGATTCAGTATTCTATATTCATGGTCTCTCTAGTCAGTGGCCACTGGTTTATTTGCTTCCCAGCTTACAAAATTTTGTGGCTGTGATTCCCAACACCACCGCTCCCCCACCCCCTGCTTTTTTTCCCTGAAGGATTTACTCTTTAAAAACATTTTGTAGTATGTTTGTCTGTCATCTTTACCCAGAAGTCTACAATATTGTTTCTGACAGCAGCATGGGTATCTTTGCCATGGATTGTTTAACTGACCCTGCAGCTGGGTGATGGTTGCCCATTTAGGTTGCATATTGCTCTCCCACCATCATAAACTCTGTGATAAACATCCTTGCGGATAAAGTTTCCGCATTTCCTTGAGTGTATCCTCAGGATAATTTCTTAACTTAGGAACCTGTGTCAGAAAATATCTGAAATATTAAGCCTTTTGATGCACATTGCCAAAGTGCTTCTAGAAGGGAACAATTTATGTTTCCAACTGAAGTTTATAAATACGTCCAGTTACCCTCATCTTTGCTACTACAGAATTATCTTATGTTTTCTGCTTTTAATGTCATACATTAAAAGTCCATTTCTCCTTCAGCATTATATAATCGTTCACGTATATGTTCTTTTAATATTTTTTTGGATTTTGTTTATATTTAAAATTTCAATCTATTTGAAATTAAAAATGTAGAGTTTTACAGATGACTAGCCAGATTCCCAGTGTTTTTTTCTTCTTTGTGTAATTATACTTATATGTAATATATATTGTTTCTGTACTTAATTATTTTGCATTCCTTTGCTACTGTACCAATATAACTTTGTAACGGATCTAGTTGGGTTAGTGTCCACTCATTACTCTTACTTCCCCCCAAATTTCTATTATTCAAATATCATTTTTAATTGAAATAACCCTTGAAAATGACTTTGACTACCATCCTTCAAAAACTCCCCTACAAATTTGAAGTTTCATCGCTAAGGAAATGACTAAGCATTTAGTTAGTTCCTGTGTTAATTTTTACATAGGACTGCCAACGTGAGATTGATGTAAAATATTGTCTGTCATCTGTTCTGACTGGCATGACCCAACTTAAGCCACAGACATTTCAGAAGAAACATGGTTGATGATGTTGGGAAGTCCTATTGCATATTTAGTTCTGTTCAAAATCCTTCCTTTCCCCGGCCTCCTCTGGTGGCGCAGGCGGTTGAGCGCTGCGCTGTGAAGCTGTCAGCAGCCTCTGTAGTGCTGGATCGATCCCGGCCGGCCGGCGAGGGTCCCACATGGCGCAGCAGACCTTGCCTGTCTCGCCCGCTGCTCCCCACAGCAGTGTATTTCGTCAGTCTGCCTGTTCTATTCCCCGCTCTGTCTCTGGTGAATCCTCTCACCCTCCCGTGCATCTGGCCTGTACCCTGGTTCTTGTGTAAATGAATAAATAAATCTTTAAAAAAAAAAAAATAAAATCCTTCCTTTCCTAAAAGACAGGAAATCTGGGAAGGTTCTCTTTCATAGAGCTATGCCATTCTGGGAGTGTCCACTATAGTTATTTGACCATGTGTACTGTATCCATACAGTCTTATTTAAGTCTCATGCTAAGATTTATAAAATTAAAAAAAAGTTTTGTGATTGCACATGGAATACATGCTCTTGTTGTAAACCATCAGAGTGTTACAGAAGTATATGAGGTGAAAAATAAAAGCCCTTGGTGTATCTACCTTCTACATAAACTACTATTAATAATAGTTTAGGGTATTTCCCCCTCCATGTATAAAGCACTAATATTATTATTGCTTTTGTTTTATTGTTGATCGTTATTTTTAATTTACAAAGACAAGTTCACGGTATATACAATTCTACAACCTAATTTTTTGACTTTATTTGCATCTTATTTATTTTTTCTATTCTGGAAAAATACATCTGTCTTTCTTCTTTTTAATGTGGTATTTCATTGTAGAGGTGTTTGCCATACTTAACTTATCCCCTTGAGATGGTCATTTGAATTGTCTCTTTTTTCTTTTTTTCCCTCCCTCTATTACAAATACTTCTACAATACTTGTACATATATCTTGGGGCATGGTATATATTTCTAGAAATAGATTTGGGTCAAAATACGTGGACATTTAATTTTAATAAATATCTCCAAATTGCCTACAAAAAAGTTGAACCAGTTTATACTCCAATAATGTATTTCAGTGCCCGATTTTCTATCCTCTTATCTTATCAGCATTAGCTATTTTTAGCCTTTTAAATTTTTCGGTCAGTCTTGTTTTAGTTTGTGTTTTAATGATTCTTGCATGTTTCTAGGTCATTTGATTTCTTTTGTGACTTGCTGAATCATATCTTAAGTATGGTTTTTATATATTATATATTTTAAGAGCAAGATATTTATTGTTGGGAAGTCTCTTTTTCTTAATAACTTTGGTGCTTGGTATTAATATCTCCTTTTTCTATTTTAGGATACCATGGCCAAGCGGAATACAGTAATAGGAACACCATTTTGGATGGCTCCAGAAGTGATTCAGGAAATTGGGTACAACTGCGTGGCAGACATCTGGTCGTTAGGAATAACTGCCATAGAAATGGCTGAAGGAAAACCCCCTTATGCTGATATCCATCCAATGAGGGTGAGGAAATGGACAGAAAACCAGTGGGGTGGTTAGTTACAGGTCTTCATCACAATGTTAGGTAAATGGCTTACCTGGTTAGGTGTGAAGCAGTAAGGGAAATAACTATATGTAATTGGTAAGTATCAGTGTAGATGCTAGATGATGCACTCTGCTGACTGGAGTCACCTGTTCCAGCGTGATCCCCCCACTTACATTCCAGAGGTTATATGTGACAATGCTCCAGCAGCACGTGGGCCCCAGAATTGCTGAGCTTGACTTGTGCGGTAGATATGTACACAAATAATAGTATGTATGTGTATAGGTTCTATAAACGTGTAAATATATATATTTAATAGTTTAGGTGCCCACATTTTAACATTACATGACAACTGGTGCTGAGTAGCAGTCTTCTCCTTTGTCCCAAGCATGGGCTTTTCACTTTATTAGTCTCCATAATTCCCTGCCCACCAAGTATGGGTCATCATTACCTGTTGTATTGCAGTGTCTTCTCTAATGTTTTTCATGTAGTGGTGCTAAGAAAGCAAGCTGTATTTTTGAACTCCTGTCTCTAATACCCATTCTGGTTGCTTTGTTGCCTGTTCCTGCCTGAACCCTATAGGTGGTTAAACTGGTACATTCTGGTTTGTGGATCTCCAGACTCTGTTCTCTCCAGCCTCCATTTACTTCATGATAGCCTCAGTATCCCCTGAGACTCCATTAGTGTTGCCACCCTAAAGGGTTTCCAGGACTTACCTCCCTTCCTCACAGCACTGTTCTAATAAAACCTTGACCTGCCTTCTTCAGGTGCTCTGTAGGCCTCTCCATAACTCCTAACCCCAGCTTCTCTCCTCTGATTATTTAGTTCTCCTATGAAAAGACTTAACAATTTTTTTTTTAAGATTTATTTATTTATGCATACAGGAACTGGGGCACAGGCCAGAGGAGTGGGGGGTGAGAGCACTCACTAGAGACAGCGTGGGGAACAGAACAGGCAGATCGACTGAAATACACTGCTGAGGGGAGCAGCGGGGAGTCAGGAGAGGTCTGCTGCACCATGTGGGTAGCTCCCTGTCTGAGGATCGAACTCGTGGTGCAGTGGCTCCAGATAGCTTCATAGGTTGTGTCCTAACCCCTTGCACCACCAGGAAGGCCCAAGACTTAACAATTTTTTAAGAAAAAATTCATGTGCTGAAAGATAAGCTTCCCTTTTTTGGGTGTCAGAAATGGGAAAGGGCAGGAGGGGGACTTACTGGTTGTATTTTTCAGATTTGAAGAATATAATTTAAGACGCTTATTACAAAGAGTTTTGTTTTTTAAAAAACTGTCTTTTCTATTGGAAACAGTAAATTATATCTTATTTTTTTAATAGAATTTAAATGCATTGGGTAGTAGATTTTTTTCCCCCTCAGGTATTTTTGTTTGGCTTGGAAGTTAATGAGTCCCTTGAGATTTTGGAGACTTCTGGATTTATGATCTCCCTGTTTACATCTAGTGGTGGTAACTTTTAGGGGAAGAGACACTTGAGGACTAAGAGCTAAGGTTATTTGGGGGATATTCTTAGGTCTTTTCACTTGGAAAGGCAATATACTGTGGTTAGGAAAAAAACAAAACTTGATGAATGTTGTGAGGTTAAGGTTTAGGGGATGAGTGGAAGAGGGAGGCAGAGGGGGAAAAGGGAGGGAGAGGCTGCAGAGAGAGAAATACCAGGTTCTCGAATTATCATACTTCCTACTTGGAGATTGTTCGGTTTTGGTTGGAGTTTGGATGGGCTTGTCAGAGGACAGGAGGAACATCATTTTATCAAGCTGTAATAGTATTTCTAGTCATATTTTTATTGCAGCATCACTTTCATTCTACCACATCTTTGTGTTTTGTTTTGTTTTTTAATCAGGCAATCTTCATGATCCCTACAAACCCTCCTCCCACATTCCGGAAGCCAGAGCTGTGGTCTGATAACTTCATGGATTTTGTGAAGCAGTGTCTTGTAAAGAGCCCCGAGCAGAGAGCCACAGCCACGCAGCTCCTCCAGGTCTGCAGCATCCTAGACGCTGCCTCTCCCTTTCCTTCACATGCTGACCAGTACCTTAGTACCCCTGCATGGCAGTAGTAAAGACGCAAAAGACGCCTCGTCTCTGGGGAGGTTTGACTTCCACTAAGCAGAGAAGTTGGAAACAGTGTTAGGTCATTAATCAGGACCTGCAGGAAATCCCGGGGCTCCCTGTGGTAGGGATGGGAATTGGCATTCAGTGGGCTCCTGCTGTGTGCCATGTGTTCTCACATCACGGATAGCGAGGGATGGGAATTGTTTCACTCTTATAGGTGAGGAAATAAAGACTTAGAGAAGGCAACTCATTCAGAGTCACTGAGCTGGGTCACAGCCAGGCCAAGATGAGAGCCTAGCTCTTTTTGATACCAGAGCAGAGGTGCTGACACCTACTCAGTTTTGACAAGGGACTGAGGTTAATGAATGAAGTAGTTACCTGTACCTTGCATCATGGAGTCTAGATAAAAGAGCAGAAAAAGCAGAAACCATTGCACTGAAGAAATAAAGGAAAATGAGTGGTTGACTCTAGCATAAAACGGATGGCTTTTTTTTTTTTTTTCAGATGGGGAATCATTTTATTCGATGGATATTTTCAGAGGGCTTTCCCTGTGCCCTGTGTACTGTTAAAAAGTACTAGAATATAAAATTAATAGTATAAAGCATCTGCCCTATGGAGTTTAGCATTCTGTTGGGGCAGATAAAACGCAATGATACCTACCTGTGTAGGTTGAGATCCTTCATATTTGAGAAAGGAAGTAGTCTTGAGTTACATAAAATGGATGTTAATAAATAACTGGACTTATTTGTATAAGATAAGAGGAGGGACATGGTCTGATAAACTTCCCAAGTGGTGAGAGAGAACAAACCGCATCTTCTTTCAGATGAGCTGGTTCATATTTCTACTTGTAGCAGCAAAGTCTTTTCTTGTCTGGATGGGGCCACTGATGAAGTATTATAGAGAAGAGAACTCTTGTATTGTGATCCTACTATATCTTGAGACATATTTTCAATCCCTAGAACATGTACAAAGACCATAGAGACCTGTGCTTTGATGAATGGTGAGGACTAGGGAGTGGGTCGCAAGAGGAACTCTGGGGACAGTATGGAATTTAGAAAACAATACATCACCCCCTAAAAAGAATTTTCACCTGTTATTTTTACGGCATGTATTTCTTACCATTGTGCTTCAAACAAGGAAAATCAAGATGGTAGGAATGTTGAAAACTTCAAATGTTTATAAATTCAGTGTTTATAAATTAATTTCACAAATATCCCTGTTTCAAGTATCTTTGCTGGTTGAATAATATTTGTGCCTTGTGAGTGAGTTTCAGTATTTCTGTAGAACTGCACTTTCGCACTAAAATCCTTTTCACCTAACTATGTTATTGGGACTGTTTTAGTGCGTTGAATAGAAAGAGTGAGCAGAATGAGTAAATTATTCAGTGATTGCAAAACAGTGTCTTTAACCCCTCTTAAGCCCCAATTCCAAAATCACCTCCCAAGTTACTGGAATTTTTGCTTGTCTCTTGAAAAAATTTCCAGCATGACTTGTTCAAGGGTACATGTTCTCTGAGACGCTGGGGGGATGTGCAGGGTGCACTGCCACTTGTCGTGCGAGTGTTTCCCACCCTTGGCAGGATGGCTTGTGTTCCTGCTTCCCTTCCCTGCCATTTGTGTCCTCCAAACAATGGGACCACTGTGACACGTTCCCAGCACATTTCCGAAACTTCCTCTAGGGGGCAGTGGCACCCCGTTGAGAATCACTAGGTTTGGCAGAGAAAGGGAGGAGACATTCTAGCCGCACTGAAAAAGATGGGGGAAGCCTGAATGTACTTCTGCTCAGAATCACGACGTGAGTGAGGCTAAGCGTCTGGCCAAAGCATAGTGAGAAAGATGAGGTTCATTCATTGATTCAGCAAGTATTATTAAGTATCTCCTCTGTGCCAGGCACTGTGTTGGCACGGTGCCGTAGCAACTGTCTCCAGTGTTTCCCATTTTCTTCTTTCAGCACCCGTTTGTCAAGAGTGCCAAAGGAGTGTCCATACTGCGGGACTTAATTAACGAAGCCATGGATGTGAAGCTGAAACGCCAGGAAGCGCAGCAGCGGGAGGTGGACCAGGATGACGAAGAGAACTCAGTGAGTGGTGGGCATTGCTGTGGGCCTCAGGCATTAGTGCTTGTTAGTGCATGATGCCACGCAGGTGAGACAGCAGGCGGTGTTGGATCGGCAGCCTGGAGCCTGGCATGACCGCATCCTGTCTGTGACAAAGACTTGTTGGAGGCTTGCTGCATCCGTGTTTGTTCTCCCAGACACTTTCAGATTTTACTCTCCTGCCCCATATGTTTTATTCAATTCAACCCTTTATTTGGGAGAGAGAATGTTCAGATCTGATACTTGGTTCTTTTATGCCTTTTTAGGGCATCTGTGATTCATAGTAAATTTGTGGATTTTATGCTTACACACTCCCGCACGACACCAAGATTACAAGTGTACTAACTTTGACTCCTGAGTCTATGCTGTAAAACTACAAAGAGGAAGAGAGAAAGAGGAGAGGGAGCGGGTTCTTTAGGGTTGGATGTGTTACTCTCACATAGGTAAATTTATGATCTTTGGTTAAATAAGGATGCTCCGTCCTCTAAGGTGGATTTAAAAGCAGAGTGTGTCAAATCCAGAAATATTTGCACGAAGATAAGTGACAAGTAGTTCAGAAAACCGAAACTCTTTTGATCTTATTAGCCTGAATTTGAGATTTTGTCCTGTTGCAGGAGGAAGATGAGCTGGATTCTGGCACGATGGTTCGGGCAGCAGGTGATGAGATGGGCACTGTCCGCGTAGCCCACACCATGAGCGATGGCGCCAACACAATGATCGAACACGGGGACACGTTGCCCTCCCAGCTGGGTACCATGGTGATCAACTCTGAGGACGAGGAAGAAGAGGGGACCATGAAGAGTAAGGCTCTAAGTACACCAACCTCAGATGAGAACACAGGCTCACGCTTGAGTCCCCTCTGCTGTTGTCACAACAGAAGGGCTAAAAACATTGGAGGGGTTTCATTATGGGGAGTTGGGGGCGGAGGAGCTGGCATATGGTGTCAGGTGCACGAAAGCGTCAGCAATCAGAAGGGACTGGCTTTTGAACCTGAACAGCCATTTTCACTGAATCTGGTCAGTTTTTCCTTTCGTCTCTTCCCTCTGTGGCAACAAGCCCACATGTTGGTTTGTTGCATTATTCAGTGTGATGACCCTGAGCTATTGACTGTACATACCTGCTGTTGTCTTCACCCTGTGTCTAACCTGGATTACCAGTACTCACTCAAGCTGTTAAGGATGTTGTACAAGTTTAAAAGTCCTGCCAATTCCTTCTAGTTTAAACCTATCTCCGCTGCTTTTCTTTTCTTTTCTTTTCTTTTCTTTTTTTTTTGTGGGACCCTTGCCGGCGGCCGGGGAATGAACTGGCGCTGCAGAGGCTGTGGGCAGCCTTGCAGCCCGGTGCAAAACCACTGCGCCACCAGGGGAGGCCCTCCACTGCTTTTCTTTTTATCCTGCTGATCCCCTTTTGCCTGTGACTGAGGCCTGAGGCCTGTGAGACCTTCTGTCTCAGAAAGTCTGCTGTCCTCTCTCCTCTGCTCTTCAGTTGGTTCCCTTCCTTTGTACATTCTAGAACAGCTCACAGAGGAAAGAACTTTGGGGGTGCAAAATCATAACTGAGCCGTTCATAGAAAATTTAGTCTAAACTCTGCATAGGTTTAGAACAATTAAGGCTCTGTGATCTTTCCATCATCTTTCCTTTCTTAGTTAAAATTTAAAGATCCTTTCAACCAGTGTTTGGCATGCTGTGGGCCACAGGCCAAATCTGGCTGGCCACCTGTGTTTGGGAATAAAGTTTTATGGCCATGTGGCAATGCCCATTCGTTCCACAGCCTGTGGCAGCCTCTGCATTATAGAGGCAGAGTTGAGTAACTGAGACAGACTGCACGGCTCCAACAACCTGAGAAGTTCGTTGTCTGGTCCTTCACAGACAGAAAAGTCCTCTAAACCTTGCTGTAGACCCTCTGATTTGTGACTGACTAATCAACACATTTTTCCTCAGTGCTGCTGTACTCCAAGTACTTTGCTCAGTGCTGAAGATACAGCAAGGAAGGAAGAAGCAGCCCTTACTCAGAAGGATTCCACTGTTTAGTGTGGGGACAGACTATTAGTTACAGTGCAGTGTGTGAACCGAGTTCTAAGATAAAGATAGTCTGAGGGTGTTGTTGAAATAGCACGGGAGAGTATTTAATTTAAACTGGGGATTACTGAAAAATTCCTAGAGGGAAAAATGCAGAAAGGCTAGGAGCGATTGGGGTGGGTGGAGCAGAGCACCTGTAGCTCTAGAGGCACAGGGGTAGGGGCACAGGGGGAGCGCAGGTGGCTTGTCAGACCAGGACTAACAGTCACTAGGGCTGTGGCTCCTAGCAGTCCTCTCTGCTTTTCATCTCTCAGGTCTCTGTATTTATAATCAGCCCTTTGTTTTTTCTGTGTTAGGCCCGGGCTCATCATTTGTCTTTGTTTTCTGGTCAGAATGACACAGAGATAAGGGCGGTAACGCTGCTGATGGGCGTGCAGAGTGGCGTGCCTTTCCTGGAATGCAGCGTGCATCAGGGGTTCAGAAAGGTCCCATTTTTTTTTTTTTTAAAGATTTATTTCTTATTTATACAAGCACTGGGTATAGTCAGAAGCATGGGAGGGCGAGAGAATTCACCAGAGCCAGAGCGGAGTGCAGAGCAGGCAGAATGACTAAGAACACTGCTGAGTGGAGCAGCGGGCAGCAGTAGAGGTCTGTGCGCCATGTGGGACCCTCACCCTGTAGCCGGGGATCGAACCGGTGCTGCAGAGGCTGCGGGCAGCTTCGCAACCCAGCGCTCAACCACTGTGCCACCAGGGAGGCCCAAAGGTCCCATCTTTGACCCGTCAAATTTCACTCCTAGGAATCTAGTCCAAGAAATAATTGAAGATGCAGACAAGCTATATTCAAGAATTTTTCCAAATCTGTTATTTATAATTGTTTAAAAAAATCTGATTAACTTAAAATGTTTGGTGGCCAATGAGTGGTCAGATGAATTATGATGCATCCATTGAATGGAATGCTATCCCATATGAAAACATTGAAAGTCCTATTTGAGGAACACTTAATTGGGGAAATATGTTGAGTGAAAAAAGAAGGAATCAAAATAATAGCTTATGACTCCAGTTTTATAAAAGTGAAAAGATAAATCAATACGTGTTAGTATATGCATTAAAAAACTGGATAGAAAAAATCAGAAGGCTGTAGGGAAATAAATATTAGAAGTAATAATTATTGATAATAGGATGCAAGGATTTAAAATTTTATTTTCCAAATTATTTTCTGGAGTTATTACCAGAAAAATAAATCACACCCAAAATGCTGCTGATATTTCAGTGGGTCTGTAAATTAGAAATTTGGGCTCTGCTTTGCTGTAAGAATCCTTTTTTCCGGGCCTCCCTGGTGGCTTAAGGGGTTAAGCACCGCACTGTGAAGCAGTCCGCAGCCTCTGCAGCACGAGTTCAATCCCCAGGCACGCCAGGGAGAAACCCACATGGCGAAGCAGACCTCTCCTGTCTCGCCCGCTGCTCCCCTCAGCAGTGTATTTCAGTCACTCTGCCTGTTCTGCTCCCCGCTCTGTCTCTGGTGAATCCTCTCACCCCGCCCCCACCCCCTCCATCTCTGGCCTATGCCCCAGCTCTTGTATGCATAAATAAATAAATCTTAAAAAAATCCTTTTTTCCTTCCCTTCTTTTCCTTCTCCCTGTTATGCCCATAAAAAGATATTTGCAAAGAGTTTATAAAAAACATTGTCACTCCCTGCCAGTCTCTTTAAATGTTTTTCAATATGTTTCACCCTCTGAATTCAGAATTGAAGCACCCTAGATATATTGGTTTGGTGTTACATAGACTGTCAAGTGAATTCTATATGCTAAATTTAGTCTCTCTCTCTCTCTCTCTCTCTCTCAGTAGCCAGTGGATTTGTTAGGAAGGTTTGTTTGGTGGTAATGAGCTGCTGACTTCTGTTTCTTTTTATTGACTCTGAATGCTAGAGCTTTTGCTTACTTTAAGGACTTATACAGATGGTTGTAATCACCATGCAGGATGACGAGGCTGACCCATAAATGTGTGGTACATGTACATGTTTTATGGGAAATCTGTCCCTTTTTATTTAAAGAACCAATTTTGTTCTAAATATAACTTTTATATTTCCAGTGTTAATTAATTCAATAGGTGGCTTGTTCAGTTTCTGAGTTTGGTTAGTTTTAGCATGTCTAATGAGAAACATGCATCTTTTATTATAGTAACCATGAAAACCATTTAATAACCCACAGTTGCAGCTAAGTGACATTGAATAAACGCAATTCACAGACAGTCTATAGGTCATGTAGTTCAGTTTTGGGGTCAATAGTTTGACAGATTTGCCACTTATTTTGAGATTATTACTCCTTTTTGTTTTAGGTGTTAAACTCTTCTTTATGGAAAATTAAAGCATATACACAATTACACACAATAATTTTGTGACTGCCATGGATTTATTATCCCCCCATTTGAAAGATGATTAATTTACTGCCTATCATATTGTAGGAAATAACAAGCTGAATTAATTTAAAGCAAATCTAAAATATATAATTCCATTGGAATTGATCTTTAAAGATTTGAAGGAAACTGGCTGAAATACTCTGTTATATTGGTTAATTCACTTTCCTTGTTTGGGGTTTTAGTGCTCTAGTCAGTGAAATAAAACAGTTATTTAACTTTGTTTCCTATGTCCTTTATAGCTCTAATAATCCACATAAAATTATGTAACTCATGACTAATACAAAACTGAAGGTTCTTAAAGTTAAAATTTAATCCTAAAATGCTTAAGCTTTCATCTTCTATTGTCTTTGAACTGTGAAATATTGAATCCTTAAAAATTAAAATTATAACTGTTACCCTTGAAAAACTTAAAACATACCACTATAGTTGTTTCCTTCAGTTTTATACAATTTAATTTTAAATAAGCTTTTACATGGAAATGAGAAGATCTTACATTCATAAGTTATGTTTAGGACATATAGCCCAGAAACCGTCCTGAACTTTTTGGTACACTTACAATAGACAGATTTCACAGATTTTTAAAAAGAGTTTATTTCAGAAAACTTAGATCCTTCATTTACCTCTAAACTCATTTACTAAATTAGTAATTATTATACTAACGGTATTATAGCAATGTTAATGAATTGTTTTATAAAAATGTAGCTCACTCTCATTACAACGAAGAACTTTTGTTCGTGATAGTAGATCTCTGTGGTCCTGACTCATAATTTTGCCTAGATATCCTGTTTTCTGATTAGCTTCTACTTAGTAAGCAAGCACGTGCATTTTCCATGTTGGCATATGGTCTTTTTTAATATTTATCACACTTACCAGTGTTTTTTAATCATTTTGGTTATTTCTGATTTTTCACTGTTATAAATAAATCTACAGGAAACATCTTACATATAGGATGCTCCTCCTTTTAAATATTTTTTAGGGAAAATTTCCAAAACAGTTTGAATAACTTATTACGTATGTACTGCCATTCTTTTCTTCAAAAGATTTGTACCAGTTTGCATTCCATGAGGATTAATAGCAACTGTCATTGTCCTTAATTTTTTTCCTTTTTATATCCACTTTTGGATATTTTCTTTTCTATCTCTCTGTGTCACTTTCTGGGAGTTGTTCTTGAATTCATTGATTTTTTTTTTTAGCCATATCTAATCAACTGACCCAGACATTGAGTTTATTCATGTCTAAATCTTTTTCTTCCTAGAAGTTTTTATTATTTTACAATCTGCTTTTTCTTCTTTCGTAATGTTCTGATCTTGTCTTAGGAATTTTATTCCTTTATCTATTGGAATGTTATAATTTTCTTTATTTTA